GGACGGCGTGACCGTCAACACTTACATGTTTGATGGCGCTGTGTTCTTGATGCCCGAGGATGCCATGGACGACCTCCGCGCGGCGGTGAAAACCGTCGCTGACAAGTGGGGCTTGTCGATGTCTGTGGTGACGATCGATGGTGACGATGCGTAAGTAGGTCGGCTGTGAGCGATGCACGGGCCAACGGCATATTCGGATAACTGTCTATTTGGACTTACGTGTAAATAGTGGAAGGCGTTAGCGGCTGGAGGCCGCGCAACATTATATGAGCCCGTTCGTGTTCATGCTGCTGACTATGCTATGTAGATGTCCAAGAGGTGCCATGCAGATTCCACGAGGGGTGTATTCCAGCCATTCGATATGGTTCGTCCTTGTTGCACGTTGGGGGTTCCGACCCAGCCTGCAGCTGCTTTGTTCGTTCTCGAACTCGCCGAAGCGATTGAAAAAAAAACTTCCCTCCTCTCCTCCACGCTCCCCTGCTCTGCCGCTTTTCCTCCTCCTTCTCCTCCCCCTCCTCCCTCCCTTGTGTTCCTCCTCTTCCGCTGGCGGAACTTTTTTTCTTCTTTTTTTTCCTCCTCCCGCTTTCGGAGGCAGAGTTTTTTCCTTTTTTTCCATGTGAAAACACAGTTTTTTCATTATTGTTCCTTTTTTTCCTCTTTTTTGGTCTTTCCCCTGGGACGGCGGAGAAATTCGGAGGACCGAACGAGGCAGGGAAAAGAGGAAAAAAAGGAAAAATAAGGAAAAACCTGTGTTTTCACAGGGAAAAAATGAAAAAAACTCTGCCTCCGAGGGCGGGAGGAGGAAAAAAAGGAAAAAACTTTCCGCCTGCGGAAGAGGAGGAAAGGGAGATGGACGGAGGAGGAGGAGGAGGAGGAGGACGACGACGACGACGGGGAGGAGGAGGAGGAGGAGGAGGAGGACGACGAGGAGGAACAGGGAGAGACAGATTTTTCCTCTTTTTCCTCCTCCGGCCTTGGGGCGCGGAGATTTTTTCTTCTTTTTCCCTGTGGAAACATATGTTTTTTCCTATTTTTCCTTTTTTTCCTTTTTTCCCTGCCTCGTTCGGGCCCTCCAGATTTTTCCGCCGCCCCAGGGGAAAGACCGAAAAAGAGGAAAAAAGGAAAAATAGGGAAAAACCCTGTGTTTTCACAGGGAAAAAAAGGAAAAAAACATTGCCTCCGAGGGCGGGAGGAGGAAAAAAAGGAAAAAAACGTTCCGCCTGCGGAAGAGGAGGAAAACGAGGGAAGGAGGAGGAAGCTGAAAGGAGAAGGGAGGAGGAGGAGGAGGGAGAGGAGGAGGAAGCAACATGGGGATCTTGGGGGGGGGTGCGACCATATATATATATATATATATATATATATACATATATAATATATATATATATATATATATATATATATATATATATATATATATATAATATACAGCATATCCGCTTTCTGGGTCTTCGCAGCGTCCAAGTCGGCCCGATGGGCCGCCGATATCGCCCCAAGACGGCCCAAGAGGCCCCCTGAGGGTTTGAAGACGGCCCAAGAAGGCCCCGGCCCCAGGACTGCCCCAGAGAGCCCCGAGACTGCCCACAAAAAGCCCAAGATGCCCCCAGAAGGCCCCCAAGAGAGACCAACGAAAGCTATGGGAGATCCCCAAGAAGGCCACTGGAGGCCCCCAAAAGGGCCCGAGATGGCTTCAGACCAAGAAGGCCCCAAGACGGCCCAAGAGGGCCCCCGGACGGCCCAGAAGAGCACCAAAAACGCCCAGACGGCGTTCATCGTGCGCTCGTCGCGCTCACGCAGCCCGCCTGTCTTTCCCGCACCTCTCTCACCCTCCCTCTCTCTCTTTTTTTTTTGTCTCTCTCTCTCTCTCTCTCTCTCTCCCTTCCCCCCTCTGCCTTCCTCGTCGACCTCCACGTTCGTTGCATCCGACGGCCATCCTCATTCGCCCGCTCCTTCCTCTGGACCTTCTCCCCGTTTCTCCCCCTCCCACCCCCTTCCGCCTCTTCAGCCCCCCCCTCATCCACGCTCCTTTCCGGGTTCCCGATTATGGACAGATGCCATCGCAACATGTAGATGCTTCGCTGTTTGCCAGCACCTTCGCGCGCGAAAAAATCAGCATTCCTTCCCCACTCCTGCGCACGAGCGTGCAAGCGCATGTGGCGAACGCGATGTTAGCAGGCACCAGCAGGGATATCAGAAAAATGGGCCGATCGCCCGTCCAGGCCTAAAGGTCCCCCCTGCTGAAGCAAGCGATGATTTATTGCTTTGCTGGGGTAGCGTCCAGAACAAGGCGCACGGCGCGAAGCGCCAATGCAGTCTTGTATACATATATACATATATATATATATATACATACAGAGGTGTCGGCCTCACTATCTTACGCCATCACTACCAATAAATAAATCTACACATGTGGCAACCATCGGGATAACCATCGGGAAAACATCGATAAGCCCATCGCTGATCGATCTTACTATCTCTGTCGTTCTCTCTCGTTTCTGTCTGTGTATACACCTATATCACGATCTATCGCTATCACGATCGATCTGTGGATCTCGGGATAGCACGTCGGGACAACCTGTACCGATCAATCGATCGATATCACTATCTGAGAGAGCGTGATCCACCGCCGCTTTACTGTGGAAAATTGCCAACCTTTTCCTCCGGAGCCCGGGGGTCGCCCCCCCCCCCTCCGAAAATCCCCCCCCCCCCTGTTGGAACCCCTCCCCCCCCCCCCCCCTCCCCCCCCCCCCCCCCCTCCCCCCCCTCCCCCTAACCCCTCCCCCCCCCCCCCCCCCCTCCTCCCCTCGAAAAACCGAGGGGGGTCACTACCGGTTCGAACCCCCCCCCCCCCCCCCCCCCCCTTCGGATCCGGAAAACCGGGGGGGTCACTACCGGTTCGAACCCCCCCCCCCCCCCCCCCCCCCCCCCCCCCCCCCCCCCCCCCCCCCCCCCCCCCCTACTCACCGCCAGCAAACGACTCCCGGTCCCCACCACCGTCCGCATCACATCCCCCACTGGTGTTCCCAGCACCACTGTCCTCACCACCGCTGTCCCCACTGGTTCCACCACCGCCCCTACTGTCCCCACCAGTGGCCCCACCACTGTCGCACTGTCCCCGCTGTCCCCAGAACTGTTCCCACCACGGTTCCACTCTCCCCACTGTCTCCACGGCCCCAACCACTGCCCGACTATCCCCACTGTCCCCACTGTCCCACTGACTCCTCCGCTGTCCCACTGAGCTGTCCCACTGTTCCCACCACTGTCCCCACTGTCCCCACCACTGTCCCCACTGTACCTCTGTCCCATTGTCCCACCGCCGTCCTCGCCACCGCCTTCACCACTGTCCCCACCACCATTGTACCCTCCACTGTCCCACTGTTTCCACCTCATTCCCATTGTCCCCACACCACTGTCCCCACCACCACCGTCACCACCACTGTCCACTGTCCCCCCCTGTTCCCACCATTGTCCCCACCACTGTCCCCACCACTACCGTCCCCACCACTGTCCCACTGTCCCACTGTCCCCACCACTGTCCCGCTATCCCCTCACCACTGTCCCACCAACACCGTCCCCACCTCTGTCCGCACCCCCACTGGGTTTTCGAGAGGGGGGGGGGGGGGGGAGGGGTTCGAACCGGTAGTGACCCCCCCCCCCTTTTCATGATGAGCAGGGGGGGGGGGGGGAGGGGTTCGAACCGGTAGTGACCCCCCCCGGTTTTCCGGAGGGGGGGGGGGGGGGTTCGAACCGGTAGTGACCCCCCCCGGTTTTCCGCCAGCAGCGGTAGAACACGCTCTTTCCACTATCTAGATGTCGCCTGCGTATTATATATATATATATATATATATATATATATATATAATATATATATCACTACCGCAAACATGGAACCCATTATGTAACCATCGATATCAAACTCTATGTATATTGCGAAATGTCGATGCAACTGTTTACCAATCGATGCAACTACCGATATATATATATATATATATATATATATATATATATAACGATTTGCCGATATACCGGCCTCACAATGTACATATCGGTCTCACTGCCAACAACAATTGACTCACCATCGGGACAACCATCGTGACAACCATCGGCACATCGGGACAACCATCGTGACAACCATCGGGACAAACCTTGGGATAACCATCGGAACAACTATCAGGACAACCACGGGACAATTATTGGGAAAACCACAGGACAACAACGGGCCACGGGACGACCACGGGACAATCCCGTCCCCAAATCCGCCACTCGGGGGAGAACAGCATGTGGCCCGACTCTGCCCTGGCAACGGCGAGATCACCCCTCTTGCCCGCGCATCTTCGCCCCTACCGCATGCACGGCACGAAAACGAGCTCTGAGACCGCTTTCCCGGCGGGGGGTCTCCATCTCACCTCGACCTCGCCCTCGAACGTCCGATGCCTGCCCTTCCCCCTCCCCAGCTTTCTCAGAAGGCCGCCCCGCGACGAGTGGCCCGGAGAGGGCCGCCCTGCGCAGAAGGGCTCGGAGGACCCTCCTCTTTCTTTCTCCTCCTCTTCCTCCTCCTCCTCAAAGAAAAAAAAAGGGCCCCTCCGAGAAGCCCCCCCCCCCGGCCCCCCCCGGAGGGCAACACCTGCCCCCCCCACCGCCTCCTCGCCCCGACCCAGCACGACGTCCACTCCTGGATCTCTCCGGCGAGGGGCAACGATAATTAGAAGTTGGAACCCGCCGTGTGGGCGACATGAGTGGGAGATTTTCGGGGGGTCGACGCCTGCCCCTGAGCCTGACTACCTTCCAGACCACCCCAACCCAACCCGAAGACCCGAATTTCGGGTTGGGGGGGGGAAGGGTTCCACATGTGTTTTTCCTGTGTTTCCTGACCCCCCCCCACTGGAAATCGGGGGTAAATCTGAGCCTTCGGGTTGGGTTGGGGTGGTTTGGGGGGTGGTGACTGCCCTTGAGCCTGCGCTGCCCCTGACCGCTCCCGCTCCCCGGGGAGGCCCCCTCTGGTCGACGTAGTAGAGGTCCACCATGAAGATGCGCGGCTCGTCGTGCCGGGAGACCAGCCCGACCTTGGTGACGAACTGGCCGTGCTGCCCTCCGTGCGCGTGCTCCCAGAGCATGTGCGGGGGAGCGATGAGCTCCCGCCTCCAGGAGAAGCCACCCCAGATGGTCTGGTACCGGAAATTTTCGGTAGCGATTTCGACGCACCCCGAATTTCGGTAGCGACCGGATCTTCGTTTGAGGGCGTTGAAATAGCGGATTTCAGAACGCTCTGATACCGGTATTGGGCGCTACATTTCGGTATTTCGGTAGCGACCGATCTCTGCGGAGCGCTACCGGAAATTTTCGGTAGCGGACCATCAGAGAAGCCACAGGTGCGGTTGGAGGCCCACCAGACCCAAGGAAGCCCACTCGCGTCGTGAAAAAAATCAAGACGGGAGGTTTCTGGCCGTGTTCGTTCGGCCCCTGGTGGCCACGGACGGGCTCCGGGGCCCTTCCACAAAACTACTCAGGATGAAAGGCCGGTCCTGGGGGAGGCCTACTATAGACCTCGAAGGACCCGCGCTGCCCCCCCCAACAAAAAGACACACGACGCCGCAGGTCTGGGTGTCGAGCCTGGTGGCTCGAACCGGACTCCCTCCATGCACCCAGACTCGGCGCCGCCCGAAGAGAGGCCAAGCTTGGTCGGAGCTCCGACAGGTGGCCGACACCAGAAAGCCTGGGCCCACGGACAGGAACGCATCATTCCTGCTCTCGCTGCCTTCCGCTGGCCCGCCGGCGTTTCACTTCCGCCGTATTTCCGCGGGCGCGCCGACGGCGAGGCCCGTGCTGGAGCGCGCGGTGTGGTGGTTCAGCCCGCGGCCCCTGAAGGAGCCTGTTTTCTCTAGGTTCGGGCGGATGCACTTGCATGGGCGGGGGGTGGATTGAGCCCTGCGGAAGCCACGCAAGTCGAAAGGCACTTGCACGCTATAGTATTCTCTTGAAGAGGGGCGAGGAGGGGGGGGGGGGGGCGAATGCCATGCAAGTAAACTTGCCCGAATCTAAAAAAACAGGCTCAAGTCCCGACCACTTCCCGGGAGGGAGTTTTTCGCCCCACATCCGCTCTTGATGGCCCCAGGGCCGGATGGCGGGCTTCAGGCAGAAAAAATGAAAGAAAAGGCCAAAATGGGAAAAAACACATCGTGGGAGATCTGGGATGTGAAGCCCCCTGCCCAGGCATCCGAAGCCTTGCATTTTGTTGATACGGGGTCCCCAGCAGTCCCGATCCTTGTCCCAGGGCCAGTGTTCCATCCCGAGTCGTTCTCGGACGGCCTGCAGGGCCTGGCAAAGGCCCTCAGATGCCGAAAACGGCTATGGAAACTTCCAGTCGCCGTTTTTTTAAGGGAACAGCAAATGACAGAAACATAGAAACTCCGGGGTCCCCGCAGATTTCTCCGATCGGCACTGGACCACCCTCCCTGGCGCGCGGAGCGCGCCAGGGGCGGCGCCGGAGGCGCCGCCAGGGGGTCCGGCGCGGATTCGAGAAATCCACGCGGACTTCCGAGATTTTATGTTCATGTCACTTTTTGTTCCTCTAACACGCATTTTCCACGCCGCGAGCATGTCTGGGATTTGGCGTCAGTCGCCCAGGCTTGGAGTCGCCCGACGCCTCGAGCCCACGGGCATGCCCTCGAGGGCCTCCTCCACTGCGGGGGCGATGCCGTGCAGGTGCCCCTCCCCGAGCCGGAAGCGGAAGTTCAGGCAGCCCAGGGGCCGGTGGTGGGACCAGGTCGACTCCAGGAGCGCTCCTGGAGGAACAAGACAACCAGACCCCTTCGCGCCGCAAAAAAATCAGGACGAAGTGTATATGTGTATCTGCACGTGTCTGAATAAGTGTGTGTGTGTGTATATGTACAAGTGTATGCATGTATGCATGAATGCATGCATGCATGTATATATGTATATATATATATGTATATATATATAGGTATGTATGCATGTATGTCTGAGCATACATACATATATGCATACAGGCCATCGCTGGGACCCAGCACCGCCAAGCACTCGACGAACCCATGTGTCAGGGAATCTCTTGGGAGGGAAACTGAGGAGACACGAAGCGGCCAGCACGCATCACTCGCACTGCCGTCAGGACCAAGCATCAGAGCGAGAACAAGGAGGAGGAATACGAGGACGAGAGGAGGGAGAGAATGCAGCGTGGTTGCCTAGAACAGCTGGCACGCGCCGCGGCTGCTTTGAACCCTGGCCGGGATCAGGAGTAAAAACAAACTGAGGAGAAGATCAAGAGGAGGAGGAAGGGAAGAAGGCAAGTGGGGGGGGCAGCGAGGTTGTCAAGAACGGACGTCATGCGTACCACATGCTGGAAACAGCTGCGAAGATAAAACAACAAACGCGGAAATCTAGTCCGTCAAAATCGCTTCAGGATGAAAAAACGGTCCCGGGAAATGGGCCGAGATCTCTGGGAGTCGGCAGTGTGAAAACGTCGTGGCATGCATGGGAGGTTGGGGGACCCAAATCTCCGACGATCTGGTTTGTTCAGTCTGGGCGCTTTTTATCAATCTCAGGCTCCGGGGCCCGTGATCTGGCCCCTGGGGCCATCAGAAACAGATCCGGGACGCAACGCTACCCCTGGAGAAGGGGCTGCGAGTTCGGGGAATCTGGGGCCACGGATTGAGAACACACACATCAGAGGATTGCAATCCTGGAAACGGCAGAAGGAGCAGAAGCTCCATCTCCTCCTCCTTCTCCTCCTCCTCCTGCGCCTCCTCCTCCTCCTCCTCCTCCTCCTCCTCCTCCTCCTCCTCCATTCCTTCTCTGTATGAACGATTTCTCCCTGTCGCATCCCGAGGCAAGTTTTTAGGGCGGCCCGGGCGTTTCGCCTGAGCCTTCCTCAGCATTTATGACCCTGAAGCTTAAACGTTGACAACCGTTTCGCAGATGGAGGGCGGGTGGTTTTCAAAATGTGGCTCTCGCCTGAGCGCCGCGCACATTCGTTCTCAAAGTTTGCAAAAAGTTTTACAAATTGAGGGCGGCTCCTTATCAAAATGTGGCTCTCGCCTGGGCGCCGCGCACATTCGTCTTCAACATGTGCAAGAGTTTCACGGATTGAGGGCGGGTGGTTTTCAAAATGTGGCTCTCGCCTGAGCGCCGCGCACATTCGTCCTCAAACTTTGGAAAGGCTTCACGGATTGAGGGTGGCTCCTTATCAAAATGTGGCTCTCGCCTGGGCGCCGCGCACATTCGACTTCAACATGTGCAAGAGTTTCACGGATTGAGGGCGGTTCCTCTTCAAAATGTTGCTCTCGCCTTAGCACCGCGCACATTCGCTGTTAAACTTTGCAGGGTGTTTCACGGATTGAGGGCGGCTCCTTTTCACAATGTGGCTCTCGCTTTAGCGCCGCGCACACTGTTATTAAACAATTACAAGAGCTTCGCGAATTGCTGTGATAGACGTACCAGACATTGCGTTTTGGACGGAATCGAGATTATAAAAACGCAGCAATCATGATGATTCGCGGTGTTGAAATCCCATGAATGGCGTTCTGGCACGGTGCAAGATCGTCAAGACGCAACAGTCAGGTTTATCCGAGGCGTTGGAATGTCGAGAACAATGTTTTGACATGCTGCAGGGTCTTCAATCGGCTGTCTTCCAACGAGGCAGGCCCCCCTGTGGAAATAAACCATTTTAAAGGCCTACGAAGAGGGAGCTTGGGGGGAGGCCTTATTCCAATATCGTTGATGACTCTTGGCTTTACACTGGTCCTCGGCAAGATTAGGTGGAAAATCCCCTGCGACATCGGACTCCGTCTTGGTGCAGACATAAACTTTCGGAGGTCCGCGCGGGTATTTTGAATCGGCGCTGGACCCCCCCGTCCCTGGCGCGCACAGCGCGCCAGGGGCGGCGCCGGTGGCGCCGCCGGCTGGGCCCAGCACCGATCCAAGAAATCCGCGCAGACTTCAGAAGGATTACGTACACGTCGGTCGGAAGATGTAAGTAAAAACATGAGGTAGGAAGGCGGGTAAAGTAGATTGGGCTCAGGTCCTCCTAGTAAAGTACAAGGCACAGCAAAAACATATCGGTTTTTGAAGTGGGAAGGCGCTTGAAGTAGATCCGGATCTGGGCATCCAGGAACACCTACTGTCAACGGTCAGCGTGTGGTTCATGCAGCCGCTCGTTCTCCGAGCTCCGTGCAGGGAGTAGCACTCGAAGTGGACGCCGACCACTCGGCCCTTGGCGGCCACCGCGCCGCCGCTCCCGGGCCTGATCTGGATCCACCTCACGCCGCCGGGAGTCTCCAGGTAGATCGCGGCGGGGGGGGCCCAGAGCTGTGCACCCTCCGGTGGACTCCTCCCCCCTCCGGCCTTCCCGTCTTTGAAATGGGGCCCCAGGACACGCAAATAAATACACACAAAGAAAAGGATGCCCCATATTTTCCAATACTTTCGGGGTGATTGTCTTCCCTCCCACTTCCTATATTTTCCCATATTTTCTGGGGTATCGACGATTCAGTGTGTCAATGTGTTTTTCCCCTCCTGAGTCTTCTCCTCTCTCCTGCAGGAGGGGGCCGGGGCGCGGCCAGGGAAGCCCGTGCAGGCCGCTCGGAGAAGCTTGCCGACCTCGGCGGACTGGTGCCAGCGATTCTCCGAGTGGGCTGCCAACCGCCTGCTCAAAGATATCCTGGGCACGAGTCCACTGAGATCTTTAGGGGAACAAAAAGTCATATAAACATAAACACTCGGAGGTCCGTGCGGATTTCTCGGATCGGCGCTGGACCCCCATCCTTGGCGCGCGGAGCGCGCCAGGGGCGGCGCCGCCAGGGGGGTCCAGCGCGGATCCGAGAAATCCGCGCGGACCTCCGAGTTTGTATGTTTTTGCCACTTTTTGTTCCCCTAATCTTCATCCTTCAATCCTTCAGTGTTTCATGGGAGGCCGCTCCTCCGAGCAGGCTGCCAAACGCCTGCTCGAGGGACCAGTGGCAGAAGTCCGCCGAGCCCACCCCCACGCCGAAACGGCAAGAGCGCGAACCTGCACTGGCGGTGCACATTCCTGGGCTCCCCGGGGATCGGCTTCCGAGACTGCGGCGAGGTCCAGTGCGCGCGGGGACCGGGGGCGCGCCAACACGGGTCAGCGCAGTGGCCTGGGGCCCGCCGAGGCCATGCCGCGAACCCGGGCCGACCGCAGAGCTCCCAAGGCCCACGTCGGCGGGGGAAAGATCCAACCTACTCCTCCCTCTCCTCCTCCCCCTCCTCCTCCCCCTCCTCCTCCTCCTGCGCCTCCTCCTGCGCCTCCTCCTCCTCCTCCTCCTCCTCCTCCTCCTCCTCCTGCGTCTCCTCCTCCCGCGCCTCCTCCTCCTCCTCCTCTTCCTCCTCCTCCTCCTCCTCCTCCTCCTCTTCCTCCTCCTCCCCCTCCTCCTCCTCCTCTTCCTCCTCCTCCTCCTCCTCCTCCTCCTCCTCTCCTCCTCCTCCTCCTACTTCTCCTCCTCTCTCCTCCTCCTCCTCCTCCTCCTCCTCCTCCTCCTCCTCCTCCTCCTCCTCCTCCCCCTCCGCCTCCTCCTCCAGGGACTCCTCCAGTGATTCAACAATTACTCACTGCGAGTGCTGCTCTCTCCTCTCTCCCCTGGGGCCCGGCCCCCTCCACATAATCCTTCTACACCGAACAGGGTCACAACCAATGGTCTTCCCCACGGTTATGTTCCATCTGGGCGTTTTCGGTCTCAAAATGGTGCTGCCGCTGCAGCGACAGCCTCACTTTAGGATCGGCACTTTGCTGCCGTCGTCGGATGGCGCTCTCGCCCCATCGCGGGCCGCTATGTTCTGGATCTGGATCTTCACTCATCGTTGTCACACCCCTCCTTTTCCCCTCCTCGACCTTGCCTTGTTCATCTGCTCTTCCCGCTCCGTCTACTCCAGATCCTGCTGCTGCTGTTCGTCCTCGTCTTCCCCCTTCCTCCCCTCCTTCTCCCGCTGCAAGCCTCCTGCTCATCCGCCACCTCCTCCTCCTCCTCCTCCTCCTCCTCCTCCTCCTCCTCCTCCTCCTCCTCCAATGTACGCAGCTCCCCTTCTCCGACTGCGAATAACACGATGGGGTCCTTTTTGTGATTCCAGGGCGGCTGTGGCACGCGTCGGCAGATATCGAACACATCTGCACAGTGGCAAGGGGCGGGTGGGAGGGATAGGATGCCAGATATGGCGAGAACGCACCTAGCTTATCCACAACTGCACAAATTGAGTACTGCTCTCCTCTCGCCGCTGACAATCCCGGAAGATCGTCGGCCCCCCTCTGAGTATGTTTCAGGATTGGGCCGAGTTCGTGTTTCACATGTACTTTGACCATCCGCTGGTGACCGGTGTTTCAAAATGGTGTTCCCGCTGCAGCTTGGGCCGCAGATTCGGATCGGCGCTTTGCTCCCGTCGTTCAACATGGTGCTCTCGCTTGCGCCAGCCACTCTTCTGGATCGGAATCCCTGTTGATCGTTGCCGCCCCCCTGGGCTCACTTCTCCGCCTTCCACTGGTCCTCCTGCTCATCCCGCTGCTTCCCCTTCAATTTCTGCTATCGCTGTACGTCTTCGTCCTCGTCATTCCCCATCCACTCCCTTTTCTTATTGCTCATCCTCCTGCTCATCCACCAGCTCCTTCCCTCCACCTCCAACGTACGCAGCTCCACCTTTTCCGGTTACTCCAACAACTTTTTGTTGAGCTCCAGTTCGGCTATGACACGCGCCCGCGGCTATCGAACAAATCAGCGCAATGGGAGGGGGAGAGATGGATATACAGTCGGGGCGTTGACCTAAGGAACCCCCAAAAAGGAACGAGGCCCCTTTTTTTCCCACAAGTTAAACTTCGGTTTCCCATCGAAACCCTAAGCAAAACCAAAGGCGAACTGCAAAACAACTAAGGAACACCGAGCCCCTCCCCAACGAAAAGGGTTCCTTCCTCAGCGCCCCGACCGTAATGTCAGATGTGGCGCCAGCGCACCCGGCTTGACCTCCCCCGCCTCCCTCCTCCTCCCTCTCAAGGCCCTCCTCCTCCCTCCCCCTTTCCCCCTCCTCTTGCCTCCCTCCCTCGTAGCCGTCCTGTCTCAGGCCTTTGAGGCGCTGAGCTTGCCAGCGCGTGCTTCAGAGCGGCTCGTGCGTGCGAGCCAGGCTGTCGCCCTCGCGCGCAGCCCGTCCGCTGGCCAGCGGGGTGGATGGGCCCGCCGCCGCACGACGTCTTCTCCAGGGCGCGCAGGCCCCACTCTTGGGGGTGTCGCTGCGGCTGCTGGGACAGCCTGGCGCGTCGGATCAGGTGCTGCGAGTGCGGCTCCGTCGCCCCAGCTCGGACTTTGGCCCGGGCTGGTCTGGTCATGGACCGCCTGGCTTCTCGCCCCGTCCCAAACAGCATGCCTCCCCCTCGTCCTCCTCCCTCTCTTCTCTCCTCCTCCGTCTCCCTCCTCCTCCCTCCTCCTCTTCGTACTCCTCCTCCTCCTCCCCTCCTCCTCCTCCTCCTCCTCCTCCTCCTCCTCCTCCTCCACCTCCTCGCAACTTCCTGCTTTGGGGGGGGGGGGGGGGTCGGGCTCCGCATGGCTGCGAAGCCTGGGTCCGCCAGAGGGGATACTTCTTCGTCCCATTTCGCGAAGGCCATCCCCAGAGCCAACCGCTCAGGCGTCGGCCGAAGCCGTGGACCCGATCGCGCTGCCGCTATAGATGAACGAGAGTCGCTGGGCAAGGGCAGCAAGGATTCAGCCCCATAGCGGATATCTGCGGGAACAGAAACATCCCACCGATACCGCTAGTCTCCGGACCCTCCCCCGGGGCGCGCTCTGACCAGGATTTCCGATACGAATCCAGCCGTGGCGACGAGGAAAGGGCAGCGGCATATCGGTACCCCTCCCTCCTCCGAACATCGCTGGCCGCCCTCCAGTTACTAACTAGAGGCCTCCCTGATGGGGTTGGAGAAGATGGGGTAGGTGGATCGCGCCGCAACGCCGATGATGCATCGGCGATGCACCGGCGATGTCGGCGATGCACCAGCGACGTCGGCGTGGACAAACATCTGGCAAGCCGAATCGTCGATGAATCGGCGATGCGGCGCGATCCTCTGACCCCATCCACTCTGACCCCATCTCCTGGGCGGCCCAGGGCCCGATCGAGTCCCGGCGCTGCCCCCCGCTGCGCGCGCCCCGAGGGGCTCCTCCGCGTCGCAGCGCGACTGCTGCAGCTGCAGCCAGCCGCCGGCGAGCGCCAGCGAACAGCCCACAGCGTGCCCCGCGCAGGCGCCGGCCCGGCCGCGGCTGGCGCCGAGCGCGTGCGCAAGGCCCCGCGGCGGGCGGCGGGAGGCCGACATTGGCGGCGCGCACAAGGGGGGAAGGGGAGGGGGGAGGGGCTTCTTGGAAGCAGGCTGCCTCCATATTGGAATCGGCACCATGCCTCAGTGCAGGAACAAGCCACTGCCATGCGAGACGCCGTGACAGTGCACCTTCCCCCTGAGCCTCGAAGCCCCGTACGGGGTGCGGCAGCCCGGGTGCCTGACCCTCGCGTCACCCGTGCTGCACACGAAGCACACGGGACGCGCACGAGGGCCAAAGATTGGCCGAGGAGGCTGCTTCTCAAAAGCGCCGGCCTGCCGTCTATTTGACAAGGCGCTCGCCGTCTAAGGAGCAGCCTCCTTCTAAGAAGCCTTCCCCCCTCCTCTTGCCCCCCCTCTGCGCGTGGCCGAGGACAGCGAGAGACGCTGGAGGAGGCGGCCGGCCACCGCCATGGCGGCGGGGGGGGCGGCCATGTCGCGGCCGATGCCGCCAGGCCTCGGGCCCGCGCGGCTGCGATCCCACCCAAGACATGCCCGCGTCGTGGAAAGATCAGGACGGGAGGTTTTTGGCCGTTCCGGGCCTATGTGGGCATGTTGCGGGCACCAGGATCGTAAAAAGGCGACTCGGGATGCAAAACCAGCCCTGAGGAAGGGGTCGGGACTTCTGGGGACCCCGTGCCGACAAACATAGGACATCGCATGTCTGGGACTCGATGATCCTCAGAACGTGTGTTAGCGCCAACGTGTGCTTGTCCACTGGAGGCCTCCGACGAATCGCAGGCGGAGCGGGCCGACTCGAGCTGCGTGCTACTAGCGGAGCTGACCACGGCAAACACATTTTGGGGAAACACACGTCATAGGGATCATCGGCTCATGCCAAGAGGATGGGGCTGCGGGCGCAGGGGTGGGCTGGTCGACACTTCCACCGCTGCCTGGTGGGACCTCTCAGCCTTTCGCGCCATGGCAAAATCGCAACGCCTGGTTTTCTTCAATTTTCAGCATGGGGGGGGCCCTTATCGGGCCCAGTGGCGTCAACAAAAAGACTCAGGATGAAAAGCAAGTCCCGGGGAAGGAGTCTACACCCCTCTGGGATCACCTCCGGGGGCTCGCGTTGCGAGGAAATCACAACGTCATAGTCCTGGGGATGAGTGCTGGCTGGAGAGACGAAGGCGACGACGACGAGGATAACAACACAACAACGGCGAGGCCGCCAGATCCTCTTTCGCGACCTCTTCGCCCAGAGGCCGATCTTCCATCCCACGTCGCAGCTCGACAGGCCGGGGCGCCTGGGCCCAGCCCCCAAGACGCGCCGAAACTGGAGGCAACCCTGCGGCGAGTTTTGGCTCCGAGTCAGAGAGAGGATGGCGGAGGACGGCGAGGCCGTCGACACCGACGGTGCGGTCGTCGCGCGAGCCCTGAACTTATATGCCGTGCGCAGACGCGCACGCAGACCAGCTGCGCAAGGGGGAGGGGCTGTGCTCCTCGCCGTCCCTCCTGGGGACGCCCCACAGCGACAACGATCCCTCGAGACGGCCGCACTGAAGGGGCCCCAGGACACACAAATAAATACACACAAATAAAAAGATTCCACATATTTTCCTATATTTTCTGGGTTTCTGTCTTCCCGCCCACTTCCCATACTTTCCCATATTTTCTGGGGAATCCAGGATTAATTGTGTCTGTATGTTTCTTTTCCTCCTGACGCACGCACGCGTGGCCCTGCGCAGTGACCCCCGGTGCGCGGCTCGCCGACCGCTGCCTGCGGTGCGGCAGCAGCGGCCCGCGTGCGGGGGCGCAGCGCCCCCGCCCCCCCCCCAGGGAAGCCGCTCGCCGAGGGACGCTATCATGGCGAAGGGGCCCCTCTCGCGGAGCCAGCAGGTGTGGACGTCTCAATCTCGCTCCCGCCGCCCTCCTCTGGCCTGCCGCCGTCGGAGCCGCCGCCGCGCTCCTACGTCTGCCGGCTCTCCGCCGGACTCCGCCGATGGCGAGCAGGCGTTGAGGGCGAGAGGCCCTTTCTGGAACGCTGTGCGTGCGGCCAAAGGTTCCCCGAGTGTGGCTGGCCATGGCGCTCGGCGAGAGCGGCGACATTCGATCGAGGTGGCCTGTGGCCGATGTTCGGTCGAGGTCGAAGTGGTTCGGCGAGAGCGGCTCTCGCCGAGCAGTCTCGACCGAACATCGGCCTCGAGACGGCCCCCCTCGGCCTACCTAGCCGCCCTCGAACCCTCCTGCCGCTCGGGATCTTGCGCTCCTTCGCGTGCCCCGTGCGTCCCCAGCCATCTGGCGACCCGAAGCCCTTGATGTAGAAGCCGGCTCGGCGCTCGGGGGCGCGCGGCGGCCGAATGGTCGCATCGAGCGGACGTGCCCCGCCCGACAAGTGTCGAGGCCGACTCGGCTCGGGGGCGTGTAACGGCCACATCGGCCGCGTCGAGCGCACTGGAGGATGGGGCAGGATAAGCAGCAGGAGGAAGATCGAGGTCTTCGGAAGATCCTGCCATCAGGAGCCCCCCGTGAGCCTCTGCAGACGCAGGGGCAAAGACACCTGCCACCTGGACCTACACAGCGGAAGCTTCTTAGCAGGCAGGGGGGCACCTGGTCACCGGCCGCCTTCCAGACAGGCGGGGGGCTTCTTAGCAGGCAGGGGGCTTCTTAGCAGGCAGGTTTTTGTTACAGGGGCTGCTAAGACAGCTTCTCAAGCAGGAGGGCTTCAAGAAGGCCCGTGCCCTTCGCGCCACCCCCTCCGACGCCCCGAGGAGGTCGGAGGTGGTCGGCCAACCCAGCGACCCCAGTCCCCGACGCCTTGTCTGGCGTTGACGTCGCGAAACCCCTGAACGTCTCGGCCCCTTCCGCTGGACTGGTTTTTCATCCCAAGTCGTGCTTCAACTGTCCTGTGACCCGTAGCATGAGCCCCCAAAGCCGAGGACTGCCCCAACTCTTCCGCCGCACCTGTTGCACGACGCGAGGGGTGTGGGTCCTCTCGGTCCCTCCTCCACGAAGACTTGGTCCCAGGACCTGTCGAGAGGTGCGCTCTGGCCAGATTCTCGAGGCGGATCCAGCCCTGGCGACGAAGCGTTCCCTGGAGAACTGCCAAAACAAAAACTCGATGCTCGAATCTGGAACACCGATTCTCGAGACGGGTCCAGCCGTGGCACCGAGAGGCCACCCAGGCGGACCCGCCAAGGCCAAGCGCGTCTGAAGGCCTTCCCTAAGTGGTTTGCCCTCCCTGCTTGAAGGGGCCCTGGGACACACAAATAAATACACACAAATAACATGATTCCCCATATTTTCTCATATTTTCTGGGGTTTTGTCTTCCCCCCCACTTCCCATATTTTCCTATATTTTCTGGGAATCGCCGATTAATTGTGTCTGTGTGTTTTTTCCCCTCCTGACTGCTCGCCGCCGACACGCACGCGGCGCACACGCGCCCCGGTCGCAACACCCGCCGGTCGCCCCCCCGACCGAAGCGCCCAAGAGGCCGCCGAAGGGCCGCCGACCCCAAGGACCGACGCCCCCTCGGAGCTGGCATCGCGAGGGGAACACCACTACAATTAGGGCCCCAGGGCCCACCTTCGTGCTGCGCCCGTTTCCGAGCGGCATCCAGCTGTGAGGGCTCCGGGGCCCGACACCTGGCGAGATTGCACGGCGGGAGGAAGACTGCTAGGCCCGGATCTGAGGGTCGTCACATCTGTTCGACGCCTGCCCCCTGGATGTCCCGACCCCGAGTCCAGAGCCCCGAGGGGGCCCGCCCGGATGCCGGAGACCGAGAGACAGACCCCAAGATCCTGACGGTGTTCAGGACGCTTGCGGGCATGAAAAGTATCCACATCCACTGCGTCTTGAAGTCTCGGGTTCCTGTCCCCAGAAAGCAGAGGCGCAGCTGATATGGACAAAAGCCTGGCCCCCAGAGGCTAGATCTTTCTCCATATCCGCTGCGCCTGGGCAATTTGGCACCTCTGCCCAGACAGTCCCATACGCAGCGGGTGTGGACACAAATCTTGCCCGCAGCGCTGGATGCCTCGAAGGAGCCGCCGCCCTCGGGGGCCTTCAGGAGGGGCAGGAGAGCCCAGAATCGAATCGACAAGTCGGATCGGCGATCGACATGAATCGGATCAACGGAAATCGGCAACCGAGCCAGGAAAAAACGAATCGGCAAGCATCGGCAGGCAAGTAGGCCTCCATTGATAAATCGGATGCCAAATCGGAATCCGAAGTCGAATCGAATCGGAATCGGAAGCCATCGAAATCGATCAAATCGAATCGGAGGAATCGAAACGAGCCCTGGAGGGGGGCGTCCACGAGGGGGCTTTGCACATCCTGGCCCGGGGCACGCGCGCGCGAGGAGGGGGGGGGCCAAGGGACGTGCTCGGATGAGAACAGGGGGGGCACGGAGTCTGGGGAGGCTTCCTGGCCCCGGCCATGATAATATGATAATAATATGCACCCTCCCTCCTCCTCCTCCCTCCCCCCTCCTCCTCCTCCTCCTCCTCCTCCTCCTCCTCCTCCTCCTCCTCCTCCTCCTCCTCCTCCTCCTCCTCCTCCTCCTCCCTCCTCCTCCTCCTCCTCCTCCTCCTCCTCCTCCCTCCTCCTCCTCCTCCTCCTCCTCCTCCCCCTTCTCCTCCCCTCCTCCTCCTCCTCCTCCTCCTCCTCCTCCTCCTCCTCCTCCTCCTCCTCCTCCCCTCCTCCTCCTCCCTCCTCCTCCTCCTCCTCCTCCTCCTCCTCCTCCTCCTCCTCCTCCCCTCCTCCCCCTCCTCCTCCTCCTCTTCCTCCTCCTCCTCCTCCTCCTCTTCCTCCTCTTCCTCCTCCTCCTCCCGCCCTGGTCATCACCCGCCTCTTGGCCACCCCCGACCCTGAGATCCAACGGTGCGAACAACATGCCACATCGCGGAGCCTCACGACCGGAGACCCAGACCACGTCCCTCTGCTGCATGTTTCAAGCCGGTTCGATCGGTGAGGGTCTCTGGGGGCGCGAAACCGCCCAGCGTGAAGCATTGCAACGCCCGGATCTCAAGGTATGCTTCCCCCCGAGGAGAGGCGCCCGGGAGCGCCCGAGCCTTCGCCCGCAGAGCTCTCGCCAGGCACCCCGGCCCGCCGCACAGCAGCTCGGCCGCCAGTGGCGCGCCGCGCGCGCAGCGGCGCGGCCGCATGGCGCCGAGCTCCCGCGCGGCCAGGGGTGGGGCAGCTCCATCCTCCTTGCGCTCTCCTCGCTCCTCCCGGCCCCGGTCCTCGCTCCTCCGCCTCCGACGGAGGGGCACGAGCCTCCGCGCGACGCGAGAGAGCTGCGGGGGCCTCCACGAGAAGGCCTCTCGGCCTGCGCAGGGACAGCCCCCTCAGGTAGTCCCGGCTGGCCTCGGCAGGCCCCCCGAGTTCAGCCTGGGGCGGTCTCAACACGCTGGCGCCGCCTCCGGCGGCGCCCAGGGCTGGGACGTTGAGACCGCCCCGGGCCCGTGCAATCCGAAGCCTTACCACCACCGCGACGTGAGAACATCGGGAGCGTCCAAGACGCGGGCATCCGAGACGAGGGCTCGCCAATCATGGCCCGGGGGCACGTGTGCGGCCCAGGGGGGAGCCCAGGGAAGTGCTGAAACCAAGAGAAGCGGCCCTGAAAAGCGGGCAGGTACCATGACCCCCCTCGCCCCTCTCTTGGCCGCCCCGCCAGAAATCACGGCGGAAGGCTCTTCCCTAGACAGTGCTTGCAATTGTGCGTTCATGCTTCTGCTGGCGAATACCCATCGGTCGGAAGAAGTAGGTAGAAACATTGGAGGCGTTGAACGTAGATTGGGTGTTCGCCCGCCCCTGAAAGAGGACGGAAAAGGTGAAGCCACTGCATCATTGAAGCATGAAGACGCTTAAAGAGATTGGTATCTGGGCCTCCAAAAATATCAACTGTCGACGACCGATGGGTACTTGGGTGGGGCTCCGCTGGGGGTTCGCCTGGTCGGCGCTTGTGGGCCCCTCTTGAGGGCGCCCCGGGCGCTGGCCGGGTCTGCCGAGGTTGCGTTTGGTGGGCGCCAGTGGAAGGAACAAGGTGAACATATTGTTGACGGTGCTGTTTCAAGCGAGAGGAGAGGAGACATCGCCCACGCCTGACCATTGCCCAACTCGTGCCGGGGAGTCGGCAGACAACCCTGCCGCAGGACCTCCATCGCCCTTTCCTCCCGAGTGAGACAAGCAAGAAACCAGACGGCCACTGATACGAGTTGCCCTCAAAACGTATCAGACCGAAAATGCAGACATTGTGACGTTCCCCCCCGCCGCCTGGCCTGCACGGTGCTTGCGGTGGCCTGCCACTGTGCGACCCCCGTCGGGGGTCCTATTCTCGCCACGGCGGGCCCGCCTCGGAATTCCTGGCCAGGACGCGCCCAGGAGAGGGGTCGCTGGAGGGAGGAAGAGGAAGAGATGGATGAGGAACAAAACGAACTGGCTATGTTGGTTCTCCCTTGTGAGGCCCAGGTGCGACGTCTGCTGCATCGCGGTGATCATGGGGCCCTGAAAGAGACGCATCTACCTCCCAAGGCAGGACTTGTGCTGGACAGGTTCCACCTATCTGGGCGCGAACGGCACGGTGTCACAACTCCTGGTCGACCCCCCTCCTTGGGAGGCCCGAGCGCGATGCCTGCACCATCGTGGTGGTCATTTACCTCCCCCTCCCCCGAAAGGGCTCTCCACTTGAAAGGTCCCATAAATGAGTATGGGTGCGAACGGGGCCGTGTAATGAACAGCCCTGGGTGGCTCCACATTGGGATACCTGGACGGGATGCCTCATAGCACTTTTTTTTCAGAAGGCTCTGAAGAAAGCCACCTTCGAGTATGAGCGACTGGTCGTGAGTGAATGTTGTGAGCGAATCTAGACCTCAACGACTAGGCATGTGGAAGTTTGAGGATGAGTGGATCAGATCTCTATCAACTGAGTGCGAATGAGTCTGAGTATCAGTGTGTTTGTATGAGGGACTGCGTTTGAGCGGTTGGATACGAATTGGTCTGGGCCTGAGTATGAGCGAGTCCAAATATGATTTGGCCTGGATGTGGAAAAATCTGGGAGCGATTGCGTCTGGGTGACAGCGACGTGAGTGTGGCTTCGGGTTGAGGAGTGCAGGCGGCAGGGAGGGAAGGGATGCGAAGGTAAGATGGAGGCGCGTCACTGGCAGCAGCAAGAACACCACTTTCACGACATGGGGAACACAGAAATCAAAGCCGCCCTCCGCCTCCTCCTCCTCCTCCTGCTCCTCCTCCTCCTCCTCAACATCCTCCTCCTCCTCCTCCTCCTCCGGGGCATACAGCGCATGCAATGGTGACGACCCCGGTGGCGCTGCAGACTGCGGCGGCGACGGCAAAGGCAGGCGGCGACGGCGGCGGCCACGACTTGGGCAGCGGCTGGCGCGTGAGCGGGCGGTCTTGCTCCCTTTTGGAAGCCGCAAGCCCCGCGGAGGCCCAGTGCGTGCCGAGCCCACGCGCCACCGAGGTCGCCGATGCAGCGCAGCCAGGGGTCGCCTCCCGCGGGGCAGCGCGGGCGATGCCGCCGTCGCCGACGCCCACGCCAAGAGTGCCGTCGTCGCCGTCGCCGCGGCCGACGCGGTCCTCGGGGCCAGGTGCGGGGAGGACTGTCGGGCGGGCAGATGTCTGGCAGCAGCTCCTCGGAGGCCTTCGTGAGGACGGGTAGGGGCTATATCAAGCCGGGCCAGGGAGCCATGAAGCTCGATCTTAGATCGGATTCGGCCGGGACTTGGGGGGCGGATTCGGACTCGGCTGGCTGGATAAGTTAAGGCCGGTTTTCGACCACGGATATACCAGCGCCGACGCCGAATTGAACCTCCCTGGAGTTGCACCCTAACATGCAGGGGGCATGGCGAGCCCGAACCCCGGAGACCGCGAGCAACGCATCACGACCACCCGGCTTTTCCTGAGGTCGGACCGCGGGACGTTCGGTCCAGGCCGTGCGTCTATGTACAAGACGGCCCAGCGTGAAGACCTGGACACGGGAATCGGGGAACAGAGCCATGGAGCGAGCCCAGGTCGAGCACAATGTAAGCACCACGCCGGGAGTCCAGGGAGCGTGCTCGGCCAATAGAGAGCACGCAGGCGACCCCATCCTCAGGTCGAGCGGCTAGGAAGTTGTACCAGGAACGCAGGATAGTGTTTTACAGGACAGTGCTTCGGTGCGTTTCGGGAAAGTTTGAGAGCCCTGGGCCACCCGAACCACCTACAAACATCAAGCCAATCCAACCACCATCCCATCCCAGACACTTCGAACAAACTACCACTTGCACAAATGACACGTTGACGATAACATGCATTTTGCCGATGCGGAGCGAAGCTTCCCTGGGCCCTGTTGAGATCACCCCGAACAAACTAGTGAGTGGCACGGAAAGTGGAAGCGAAAGAGAGAGGGGGGGCGAAGGAGGCGGAAGATAGATCGCGCCGCGCCACGGACAAAACTTCGGCAACGCTGGGCGCAGCCTCAGCGCCGAACGCCCCGGCTGCGGCGTCGTCCTAAGGCACGACGATGGTCCCAGCGTCCTACGGCAAGCTTCCCAACTGGCCTCATAAGAACCCTGAGGTCCAAGGTGGCGGAAACATGCAACATCGCGCAAGATCGCGGAGCCTTGGACCCCATCCTTCTGCGGCAGTTCTCGAGCAAGCTCGATCTTCATCTGCAACAAGAGAGTGACACTGGGCAAGAGTGACCTGTGGTGCCGCAATAGGGCTCAAGCCAGAGCAAGACAGGCGCGCCAGCCAGTGCTGGCGGCACCTCTGTCCTGTGGACCCGCAGCAAAGATCACTCAGGCGAAGGGTCACGCTCACCCGGAGCCTGGATCTGGCAGGGTCCAACGCCCAATGCGAAACCGTTGCCAGGGAGCCCACAGAGGGCGCACGTACGCGCCCAGCCGCCATGCATATGGCCCCCACGTCCGCGGGGCCAGCCTCGCGACACGAGCGCCCGCGCACTGCGCACTTTCGAAACCGGCGTGGCTTCATGTGCGCGTGGGTCCTTCCTCCGCTCCCGAACTGCAGCGCCCGGATCTCGGGGAAGTGCGCCAGGCGCCGCACGGCTACCACCTCTGCTGCTCCCCGGACCTCGCCAGGGGTGCGTGCTGGCCAGGACTTCGAGGCGAATCCAGCCATGGCGACGAGGGCCTCCCAGGAGGCCCAAGCAGGCGAACACAAGGGAAGGGTCGGCCGCCGCTGCCGAGACCATTCGGCGCGCCGCCCGGGGGTTTGCCGGCGAGGCCGCCGGGCGCGCGCGGCACGAGGAAGTTCGAGGGTCAACGATCGCGGAGAACTTGCCCCCAATCCTGTGGTGTTGGGTCCTCGTTCTGAAATGGCGGTGCCCCGAGTCATCCTTCCTCCTCCACCCTCCCTCCTCCCATCCCTGCCTCTGCCCTTCGCATGCCCATGCCGACACACGCACACGCCTCGCACGTTTCTTGCCCCCGCACGGAGCTCCACCGAAGGCCCCAGCGGCAGGGTCCAGATGGCGGCCCCGCACACATGTCAGCACACATCGGGAGCTCCACCGAAGGCCCGAGCGGCAAAGTCCGCATGGCAATGGCGACCCCGCACCCATGTCGGCACACTCCCCACACGCTCCTTGGCCCCATCGAGGTCTGCCCTATCATTTGTCCCACCTGACTTGCTGCACTCGCACCTGCAGATGGGTCGAGGAGGAGGAGGAGGAGGAGGAGGAGGAGGAGGAGGAGGATGAACAGGAGGAGGAGGAGGAGCAGGAGGAGCAGCAGGAGCAGGAGGAGGAGGAGTTAAAGTAGCCTGAGCAAGAGGAGGAGGACGAGGAGGAGGAGGAGGAGGAGGAGGAGGAGGAGACTTGCGCCCTGATGATCTGCATGTCTTTTAGGCGAGCCGCCGCGTGGCGGCAGCAGCTCGTCCCAGCGACCCTCCCGCGCCAAGCGGTGCCGCGCTGGGGCGCCAAGCGGCCGGGACCGCGCTGCGAGGCTGGCGTCCAGGTGGGGCCCCAAGCGACCGCGGACGGCTGGCCACCATCGAGGACGATGGGAGCCATGACCACGAGAAGGGTGCACTGGCTCGGAGGGGGCAGCCTCGACCCGGAATCGGCGATACGTCGCCGATGGATCGGCGATGGGCCCCCGAGTGCTGGAGCCGCACCCTCACGGGCGGGACGGGCTATCGGGCCTCTATCGGCGATGAATGGGCGGCTTGGGGTCGATGAATTCCCCCCTGAGCCGATACCCTCCTATCATCGCCCCCGATTTTTACCTCGCTGGAGAAGCGGCTGTCCCAGAGATCCGACGTCGCGAGAAGAATGCAACATCGCCGAACATCACAATCCCGGACACGCTCGCGTGATCGCGTCGTGGAAAAAAGCACGACGGAGAATACTTTTGCCGATCTCTCGGCCTCTGGGGGCCCTCGCCGGGCCCCAGGACAGTCAAAAAACAACCCGGGAGGAAACCCAGCCCTGGAGAAAGGGTCGGGCCCTCCGGGGATATGGAAGCGATCAGGACATGACCGGCGCCCCGGACCCCCGAAGCCTCTCTCGAGCAGGACCGCTCCGCGGCGGCCCCGCGGGCCCGAGCGAGGGCGAGCACGCCGGGTGCAGAGCGAAGCCTGCAGTCGCCAGGATCTCGGCTTGGTGCGGTGCCCGGGCCGTTCGGCACTCACTGACCGAGCCGCCTCGCTGCGGGGATCTTGTTGCGGCGGAGCAGCTCCGCCTCCGCCTCCTCCACGGCGGAGCGCTCGAGGATGACGACCCTGGGCAGGAGGCCAGCGCCCCGGGTGGAGAGCTCGAACCGCAGGTACCTCGGCGCCAGCCATCGCGACTCGCGACCACCGTGGCGCCATCGTGCCCTCGCGCTGCCGCAACCGCTCCGGGCCCACGCCGCGACACGCGCAGCGCGACTGTCTTCGCGCCCCCGAGGGTCACCTAGCCAATTAGGCCCCCGTCCCCCCGAAACTGACAAGCCGAAGGCGATGACGGGGACGTGCCGTCCGAGGAGTGCCTTGATATCGGCACTCGGATGAGGTTGTGCCAACCATAGGACTGATGAGGCCACTGCTTCGGGCTGCGAGCCTCCATCAGAGGAGTGCCTTGATCTCGGCACTCGGAAGTGGTGTGCCGATCCTAGGAATATGACGAGGCCCATATTTCCGACTGCTGGCCGCGAACCTTTCCGCAGAGGACTCCGCGAGGAGATCGGCGAGGTGGCGCAGGTTCCGGACCCGGACCTTCTGCCCCCGCACCACGAGGCTCTCCAGCCGGGCGTTCCGGATGTCCTGGAAGCCCAGGTTGACGGTGTGCGCGAGCACGTACGACAGGACCACGACCTGCTCGTCCACGAACTCGCGCGCCTTCGAGTCCATGACCTCCCGCAGGCCGTTGCAGCCCTCCTTCCGCCACTTCTCCCCGAAGGTGGCGCGGAGATACTGCTGGGAGAGGATTACGAACACCAGCCCACCCACGATCACGTAGTCCAGCAGCCAGGGCGCCTCTTTCTCGAAGGGCACGAGTGGCTCGTGCGCGCACAGCCGCAGCGAGCACGTCAGTTCGGCCCCGTCCCTCAGCACCCTGGCCTCCAAGACGTCCCCGACGAACTTGTCGACGGCCAAGTACGGGAACGGCACCCGGTCGTGCTTTTCGAACGAGGGTCAATGGAGACAACGGCGGCTCTCCCGCCCGGCCGAAGTCCGTTCAACATCGGTCCCCAGGCCCCTCCCGGAGCCCATCCCGATCCCTTCTTCGACGCGGATCCAGCCGTGGCGACAAGAAGCCCCGAGGAGGCCCGAAAGCGACGACAAGCGGCGCCCGGGAAGGCGGCCGCTGTCTATACGGGCCCTCCTCCGAGCTTTGTGGACCCGCACACGAACGGCACGCAGCCGTCGTTGCCGATGCTAGAGGAACGAACAACTGTATTAACATAAGCTGTCGGCGCTCTGCGCGATTTTTGGGGGTCGGCTCTAGATCCCCCTCCTTGGCAAACTCCGCCAGAGGCACCGCCAGGAGGGCCCAGCGCCGGTCCAAGAAGTCCGCACGAAGCCCCGAAAGTTTATACTCACGCAGATGTTCCTTCCTCGAGATGGCGACCCCGTCCAGCTCGAGGATGACGTCCCCCTCGCGCAAAGCCTTCGCGTTCGGGGCGGTGGGGTCCACGCCCTTCACCAGGACGCCCCGCTGCCCGTCTCGCATCCCGAGCGCGCGGCGCATACCAGCGTTCTCCAGCTTCTGCCCAGGCAGTGCCAAAGGGGGTCGCCACTGGTCGGAAGGGGGCCCGTGGCGACAACGGCGGCCCTCCCTAGTGTCTGTCTTCCTCTTTGGGCCTCCTTGGGGGGCTTCTCGTCGCCACGGCTGGATCCGCGTCGACGAACGTGTGAGGATGGACCCATCCTCAGCTGCTTTCGCTCAAGTTCCAGACCCTCCCTGGGCGGGATGGAGCTTGAGGTATAGCCGTGGGCTCCAGAGTCGGGCCCGCCGGCCTGGCACGCAGCGTTTGGCACGCGCGCGGGCCGCGCGCGATGGCGATGCGCTCGCCTGACGCGCACGCAACAGGGCAGGGCAGCCATGCCGTCGCGTGGAAACCGGGCGGGCAGACGCGGCTGTGCTCCCAGTACCCTGCATGCCTCCCCTAGGGCTGGAGGTGTAGCCTCCTCGCTACCCCAATCTCGCCCAGGGCGAGAGGGGGGGGGGGGCCCTGGGCACCAGGCTGCTGGGCCTGGCCTGCTGGCCAGGGGCCCGGAGAGGCCGCAGCCGAAGCCGCCGCCGAAGGCGGCCAGCTCTGCGCCCGGCCCCGCAGCCCCCCCCCCCCGAAGCGGGTGCAGGCGAGACGGCGGCGGCCCCTGACAGGAGCCGCGCCGAGCCGCGCGCCCAACGCCCGCAAGCTAGCAAGGCGCTGGCGGCGCGCTCGAGCAGCCCCGGCAGCGCCCCGCGGGAACGCGCCGCCGGCGCTGGCGCAAGGCACGCAGCCCCAACCGCCCGCCGCAGGCGCACTTGCCGGAGCCCGCGCGCGGCCCCGAGGCGGGCGGCGACGCGGCCCCGAGGCGGTCGCGCGAGACGCCAGCGAGCACTACACATCGCTCTCGCGAGCACGACGGGTGCGGGTGGTCTGGGCTGCCCGGTCAGCTAGCCACGGGTGACCCGCCAGGCACCCCAGCCCCGGCTTCCCCGCGGGGCGGGACAATGATGATGATGGTGATGATGATGGTGATGATGATGATGATGATGATGGTCATGATGATGATGATGATGATGATGATGATGATGATGATGATGATGATGATGATGCTGATGCTGATGCTGATGCTGATGCTGATGATGCTGATGATGATGATGATGATGATGATGATGATGATGATGATGATGATGATGATGATGATGATGATGATCATGATGATGATGGGGCGGGGGGGGACTGCTGCGCCAGAGAGCTGCAGGCAGGCGCGGGAGCGCGCGCCCGCGGGCGCCATGTGGTGGCGGCACCCTGCCGCGGGCTCGTTGTTGGCCTCTGCCATGGGCCAGGGGAGCGGCGGCCCAGCTGCTGACCCGACGGCGCCGGGAGAGCGCCCACTCGGCCATGCCCGAGGGGCGGCACCGCGGCCCAAGCGGCCGGGCGGCGGAGCACGCGCGGCGCGCGTGGCAGCGGCGCAGCGCTCTGCGGAGCTCGCCGAGCTGCTGGCCGGCGCGGAGGGCCGGCGCTGCACCGGGGCGCGGCGCCCTGGCGCTGCTGGCTGCCGCAGCCAGCAAGGGGCTGAGGCCCGCCTGGCCGGGCGCGGGCCAGCGCGCCTCCATGCGGCTACCTCTCCTCCCTCCATTCCTTCGCCCTCCCGCGCTTGTGTCTCGCTCGTCTGTCGTCCGTCGCTGGTCGTCGTCGTGGCGTTGCTCTGCTCGCTGCCACGGGGCTCCTCTGTCGTTGCTTGAAGAGTGTGAGGGTGCCTCCTGGGAGGGGGGATCCTGACGGGATTGAGGCCATGCAGTCCTGACACTGGACCCGCCAGAACCAAGACTCCCGAAGGAGGCGCCCGAAAATGTCAGAAACCTCCGCGATCTCCGATGCCATCCGTGTCCTCCTCGGTCTTCGACTTCCAGTCGGGACGGCGGCAACGGGGGGCAATAAACGTGGGGGGATCGATCTGGGATTACAAGAAAATGGCGCTGAAGGAGTCACGAATGGCATCCAATTTGCAACCGCGGGCCCAAAAGGTTAATGAAGGGCGCACGGTTCTGCACCCCACGTTTTATCGCCGCCCCGTCATCGAACACCCGATCCAGGAGGCGGAGGCGACCCCCCTTGGTGATGACACAGGAGGGGTACTGGGATCGATCATCAGCGCCTTTGGCGCGGGCGGGGGAGCCGCCGCTGGACCCGCCAGGGACTTCCGAAGAAGGCGCCCGAAGACGTCCAAAGCCTCCTCGATCTTTTTCAATCCAATCCGTGGTCTATTCTCGGTCCTCGACTTCCGGGAGGCGGTGGTGGCCCCCCGTCCAGGTGGCCCCCGCCTTGGCGCTGCCCGATCTGCACGGAGAACCGGCCGTGACCGAACGACGTGACCCGCGCCGGGGCCTCGCAGGGCGCCTCCCCGGCGGGCGGGCTGGTGCCACCACCGCGCCGCCAGGCCTTAAGGAACTTGGCCACCACGCTCACCGGGATGATGAAGCCGATGTTCTCGGTGGACCCGTCCTTTGGTGAAGCGGGGATCTATCCATAACCACCGGCCAATGGGATCGTCGTCGGGGACGTCGGCAGGCGGTGGATCTGGCCATACATGTGGGTCTCCCCAGGGCCCGCACATGTCAACAGGCGGCCACCACCCTCACCGGGATGAGGAAGGGGGGGCTGCGAATCCACGGTGTCGCTGGTCCAAGGTGCCCCCAGCTTTGCGGTGTATTTTGGAGCCCCCCCAGGGCCCTCTAGGCCTCGTGAGGGGTGCTGTGGACGCCGTGGGGCCTCCTTGGAAATCCTGCAGCCGCCTTGGGCCAGGGACACATCATAGCAACAACCGCATATTCTGGGTGGAGCTGTCCTTGAGGGACTGGTAGGCCACGCCTACGCAGGTGCCGTCGTCGATCAGTGCGGGCCCGCCCGAGTTCCCAGGGTTGACGGCGGCGTCGATCTGCACCACCAGGCGGTTCCGCCAGGGGTCGGGGTTCTCCTCCAGAAAGAGCCCAAACATGCTCGCGTCGTGACAAGAAAACGACGGGAAGTTGTTGGCACTTTCCGGCCTCTGGGGACCCTCGCTGGGCCCTGGGACCGGAAACAAACTACTCGGGATGAATCACTGGCATGGGTCAGGAGATCCGGGAACACCGTGTTGAAAAATATGGCACATCGCTTTTCTGAAGGAGCGAACGGCACAAGCATAGACTTTGGAAGGTCCTTGCAAATGTCTTGGATCCTGACGGGATCCCCTTCCCTGGCGCGCGGACGAAGAAATCCGCGCGGCCCTCTGGAAGTTCCCCGTGCGCGCAGGCCGAAATCCTTGACGTCGGCGCTGCCCGCAGGGGCGAGAGCGGGGAGCCCTAGGTTTTAGGCTCCCTTATAGGGTCCCCCCGAATCTGGCCGAAATCTGGGCGCTCCCCCCAATAACGCCGACCGCCGCACTTCGGCAGGAACGGATCACACCGGCAGGAACGGATCACACCGGCCGACCTTTCGGTCGGCGCCCACGGACTCGGTCTGCTTCTTCTCGCTCCTCGTAATCGACCCGGCTGACGACGCCCTTCGTGACGCACAGGTTGTCGCCGCCGGTGGGGTACCCCACGCAGACCACCTCCGCGAACAGGGCGGGCACGCCCTCGCGGAACTCCTGCGCGGCCAGCCCCGATGCCCAGAAGGCGTCGTCCCGAACGGTCAGCAGCGCCAGGTCGCAGTCCACGCCCCTCGCCAGGACCTCCGCCTCTCGGAGGGAGGGCCGGCGGAGACAACGGCGGCCCTCGCTGTCGTGCTTCTTGCTTCCTGGCCATCGCTCGGACGTCCATTCCCTGTGTTTTTTTGGTTTCGTGCGTGGTTTTTGGGGCAAATGATCAAGGATGCTCCTCGATGGTTCTCGCCGGAGGAAAAATGCACACGTCCGAGGGATGCCAAGCTTCTGTCGCGCTCTCTGGAGGCGTCCCTTCCTTTTTCAGGTGCGGCTGGGCCCCCTTGCCCCAAGCAGCGTGTGTTCCAGCCGAGACGTGGCACGTGCAGCGCAGCGCGCGGACAGCAGCCTCGAGAAGCAGGGAGCGGGAAGCACGCGGCCGGGAGGGACGCGGCAGAGCAGAGAGCAGCGCAACGGGAGGCAGGAGGGCGAGCGAGAGAGGCTTTCTGGAGGCGTGTCGTCGCCGCGAAAAGATCCGCCTCGAAAAACAAGTCAGGGTGGACCCCGGGTGGGATCCGAGGACCGATTCTGGGGAGGGCCGCCGCCGTCGCCTCATTTGGCCCTCCTCCGTGCCTCGTACTTCTGGTCGTCGCCACGCTTCCGAACCTCGACGCAGCTGGCGTGGGCCACGCAATGGCGGTTGGTCAGCAGGAGCCGCTCCTCGAGGCTGTGAACGATGGCGGTGGACGTCGAAGAGTGCTGCCGCTTCGTCGTCCAGGGCATCGAGTAGTTGGGCTTCAGCTCCCGGCAGAAGAGCTTGACGACAGACCTGCCCTCCAGGAGGCCAGAGACGTCCGCCCACTCGCCGCCGTCGCGCCGCGGCCGCTTCCTGGGGCCCGCGCTGGCGCGCGGCGAAGAAACCTCGGCGCCGTCGCCGCCCATTGCAGCAATCCCCCTCTGCCCAGGCCGCCGCCGCCGCCACCCGCCCAGGCTCTGGCTGGATCCTCCTGCTGCGGCAGCCGTCCGCCTGCAGGAGAACGCTGGACGGGAGAGGGGGGCGACGCGGGGGGGGGGGGGGCTGCGGAGCGGGGGGGGGCGCGCCCGCCGAGAGCGGCTCGAGAGCACGTGGTCGAGGGAGCAAGCCGAGGCGGAGGGCCCTGGAGGGAAGGGGGGCGGCAAAGTTCCCCGTCGGGACTTCCGCCGGCGGGACCTCCGGTTCCCGGCCCTCTATGAAGATTCCTCCTCTCCGGGCCCCTGCCCCGACACGGCATCGGACACCAGCCAGGCACTGTCAGGAGAGGAGGGGAAGATTCCTCCTCTCCGGGCCCCTGAGGAGGAGGGAGGGGAGGAGAGGGAGGAGGAGGAGGAGGGGGGAGGAGGGAGGAGGAGGAGAGGGAGAGGAGGAGGAGGAGGAGGGGGAGGAGGAGGAGGAGGAGGAGGAGGAGGAGGCTGGAGGAGGAGGAGGAGGAGAGGGGGCAGCCCATGACTCAGTGAGGTCCGTCCGCCGCACGGGCTTCGGGAGGCGCCGACGTGCGCTCGCCAGCAGCCGAGGAGGCCACCGGATCGTGCGGGCAGCTTCGGAGGCCCTCGAGGCGGACAAGTCTGCCATTCGCATCTCGCGTGATCTCTCGATGGCACGAAGCAAGCGGGTCCTTGCTGGCGTGAGGCGAGCGGGCCCCGAGGGAGGCGGGCTCCGGACCCGGGGGCCTTCCCCCAGGACCAGCTCGTCTTCGTGCCGAGCGCTTGTTACCGGGAAGGCCCAGGGTGGGCCAACAAAATTAAAGATCTCAAACCCTGAGATCCGATGTCGTGATTTTTTTCAATACGGGGTCCTCAGAACTCTCGACCCATTCCCCAGGACCGGATTTTCATCCTGAGTCGGTTTTTGACGGTCCCGAGGCCCGGCGAGGGCCCCTGGGGGCCGAACTTTGCGAATAACCTCCGTCTTGATTTTTTCAATACGTTGGATCTCTGGGAACAAAGCCTTAGCAAGACCCGCTTCCCTTCAGGGCGATCTTCGGGGGGACGTTTCGTCCCTTCGCCGGAGCCGCCCGTCGCTTTGCTCCCGCCCTCCTATTCCGCCTGGCGTCCGGCCCTGCCTCCCGCCGAGGAGGCGACGTCAACCCCTCGCCCCCTCGAATACGAGGCGTCCTCCTGGAGCGCTCCCCAGAGATCCAACGTATTGAAAAAAACAAGATTGAATTTTTTCTCAACTTTCTGCCTCTAGGGGCCCTCGCCGGGCCCCGGGACCGTCAAACAACGACTCAGGACCAGGATGAAAAACCGGTCCTGGGGAATGGGTCGAGACTTCGGGGGACCGCGCATTGAAAAAATCACGACATCGGATCTCTGGGTCTGTGTGTTAGAGATCGATTGTTTTTTCCTGTGATAGCTCGGGTGGTCCGGTGGGGTGGTGGGGGGGGGGTGACGGTGCTGGCCGACGACCTGACCTTTTCGCTTTGGGCAGCCCTACGTATACGCCCGCGCGCACCGATGCTGCGTACCCCTGTTCCGACCTGCACGACCGACGAGGTCAGGCTACCCGAGGGAGGGGAGGGTGGGCGGGTGCGGGCCCGATAACCGGGGCCATCGCCACACCCGAAAATTCCTTCCCGTATCGGCTCTCCCAGGTCTGCTGGCGTGGCAGCAACTGGGAGGCCTCCCGAGGACCTTACGCGGCTCGAGCCGAGATGCGCTGGCCATCGTGGAGCCCGGGGCGCAGCCTCGAAGAGATCCCCGCGCACAAGCCGCCCGCCGCCCGCGTGCTGGCAGTCAACATCCACAGTAAGGATGCACCGAAAGGGTGCACGGTAAGGACTCAGACATGCTCGCGCCGTGGAAAAAAAGCACGACGGGACGCGTTGGCCGTTTTCGGCCTCCGGGGGCCCTCGCCGGGCCCAGGGACCGTCAGACAACGGCTCGGGATGCAGAACCAGCCCCGGGGAAGAGGTCGGGACTTCCGAGGATCCCGCATTGAAAACATCAGGACATCGCATGTCTGGGGGGGCAAAACCAGGTGGGGGTCCCACTTGCCATGTACTTAGATAATTGGACGTCAGCATTGGCTCAGGATGGGCTGAAGAAGCAGGGATGCAAGCGTAACCTTGATGAAGCAGCGCGTCCTTACTATAAATTTGGACTGCATAAGCATTCCGCGCTCACACACATGGCGCTCTGCCCCAGAATGGCCACGGCTCGAGAGCCCAGTGCCCCAGGGTCGCGATTCTCTGGCAACTCAGTAAAGTAGTACATACTGCCGAGAGCGACCGCAGCAGCATCAGGGTGTCGGTTGTTTATCGCCGGCTGCAAATGCGCCACGGCTTGCTTGGGCGCTGGACGGACGCCATGCCCCGAGGGTCTGTTCCCCCAAAGGCCGGTTGATGCTGAGGGTCCGGGGCCTGGTAAAAAGCAACAGCCACGGTCAAAAACCGTCCGTCGTGTTCACGTTCAACCATGATAGGAAGGATGGGGCAACTTTTCAAGGCTACCCTTGCATCCTTGCCCCTTCGGTATTCGGCATCCTTCGGCATATCTGCCGCGCTCCGCACAGAAAACGTCAACATGGCGTTCCAAGGCCCTTGCATCCCTACCGCGCATCCTTACTATCCTGGTCGAGTGCATCTTCACGACGCGAGGGGGGGGCTGGGAGCCATCTTTAAAGCACACCCCGACCTGCGCAGAGGGCGCTCTGGCCCCCGGCTGGCAGCGGCTCGGGGGGGGAGGTGGAGGAGGAGGCATCCGAAAGCCCGAGGCCGCCAGAAGAGAAGAAGAAGAGCAGCACCTTCATAAGCATGTTTTTTTTTTTTTTTTTTTTTCTGTTTCCAGCCTTTGGCCTACATCTTAGTTAGCAACTGGCTGAAATCCTCTCTGTCTCCCTGGACTCTACTGCAGGCACTTGGCCTCGTTGTATAATCGTTTGAGGGCTCGCTTGCCACGCGCTGTAGGCTCACCCTCACTGCTTATGCACTTTCGGAGGTCCGCGTGGATCTCTTGGATCGGCGCTGGACCCCTTCTCTGGCGCGCGAGCCCGCCAGGGACAGCACCATCTGCGCCGCCGCGGGGGCCCGGCGCCGATCCAAGAAATCCGCGCGGACCATCGAAGAGTGGTGTTTATGGCGCCCTTCCTTCTTCGACAACAGACCGCAGGAAGGCCGCCGAAGACCGCTGGTGCGAGGCCGGGAATGATCCACATCCGCCGCCTGGAGGGCCGACGATAGATGGATATGTGCCGCCGCACCGTTGACTCCGGACGCGCCCGAGTAGACGAGGCCGGCACCGCGGCAAACCAACGGCAAACCTTGCATCTGAGGCGGAGCCTGCCCTGGTGGTCGAGGCGCCCTCTCAGGGTCTCCTACGATCGACCCTCCAGGCAGCGGTCATGGACAAGTGACGTCGGGGCCCCCCACGTGGGGACCTGGATAAACCAGCACGTTGGCGCGGGCGAGGAAGCTGCAGCCCTGGGTCGAAGCCTTCTCCTCTCGCCGTCCTCTCCGGGCGGGACTCTCAGAGCCCTGGCCTGCAGTGCACTCGGGAGGCCGGGGGGCCCTGCTGACGAGCCCCCGCCTCTGAGCCGGACGGCCGCCGAGGAGATGGCCGCCGGAGATGGCCGCCGAGGATGGCCCGGGTGGCGACGCCCGGACGCTATAGCCCCCACGAAGCATCGACCCTCCCGAGTCGATGGGGAGGCCGAGGGGGCAGGCGAGCAGGAGTTCGCCGCGTCTCCGACACGCGCCGCACCCGGCCCCCGCCGCCCATCGATCGTGGCCCGAATCGTCGATCGGCGAGGGTCGGGCTCGGATGCCGCCGCCGAGTGGCCGCCGCGGGTGGCCGCCGCCGAAGCGCCCGCGCGGTGGGGCCGGTGCGGGGCGCCTCGCTCCGTGGAGAGGCCGATGGCGGCCGCGGGCCGGGCCTGGCGGCCGCAGGGGCGAGGCATCGGGCGGAGCGGATTTGCGCTCCCCTCGCGGGCGGCCAGGGTCGGACCCCGCCTGGGGCGTGTCGCCGCCCTGGTCGGTCGCGGTCGTCGTGGCGGTCGTGGTCGCGGCCGTCGGCGTGGCCGCCGCCGTCGCGGCGGTCGTCGGCGTCGTCGCCGCCGCCGTCGCGGTCGTCGCGGTCGTCACCGACGGCATCGTCGCCGCCGTCGACGCCCCAGACCTCCAGCGACGCAGAGGCGTCCCGGCGGGTGCTCGTTTTCCCATCGTCGGCCTCTGGGGGCCGTTTCGGGCCCGAGGGAGCTCGCAACGCACAGCGTCGGCGGTCTCGGCCTCCCCCTCGTTTCCGTGCCTCGTCCCGCGTTCCCTCCACTCGGAGGATGCCAGAGGTGTCCCTGGCCCGCGGTGCCCCCCACCTTTCTCGCAGCTTTGGGGCCCCTCTGGGGCCCTCTGGGCCTCACGAGGAGTGCCTTGGAGGTCCTCCGGACCTCCTGAGACTTTCGCGGACCGCCTGGGGCCAAGACATATCTGGCAACACCCGATCGATGCCCTTCCCTCCCGTCCTCTCCCATGAGGGGTCGCACGCGTGCGCACGCGGTCCGCACCGCTAGCAAGCACCATGACTCGACTCGATCTCGGCTCCTGCCACATTCAGAGCGACTGGAAACATCTAGAGCACCCCTGCGTGCAAGGACGTGCAGACCTCCGAATCCCAACGCGATCTCTCTGATGCCTCACCAACTCTCTCTCTTTGGCAATGTCTTCTATGGGGGGCGCATCTATATTTGACTTCCCCCCTCCTCCGGCGGCCTTCCGTCGGCTTCCGCCATCGGAACCGGCCCCCCGGCGTATACTTCCGCCAGCTCCCGCCGCCGTCTGCCGAAGAAGAAGTGTCAACGCCGCCCAGACGTTCGACGTCCTCACTTTTTGATATCGGGAGCGGCCAAGAGGGGGGTGTGCAAGAGAGGGGGGGTGCAAATCATGACCGGCGGCATGTGCGCGGCCCAGCGGGGGGGCCTGGGACGTAATGAAATGAGAAGAGGCGCCATGAAATCTGGGGAAAAATCATGGCCCCCGCCATGATATCCACCCCCCCCTAGTCATCACCCCCCTCTTTTCCGCCCCCGATTTTTGATACAGGCCCCCACGAAGTCCCGACCAGGGCCGGGCTTTTCAATCCCCAGCCGTTGATCAACGGTATCCTGGGGTCCGGCGAGGGCCCCCGCAGAGGCCAAGAGCGGCCAGCAGCCTCTCGTCTTTTGATTTCGCTCACGAGGCGCGCGCACGTCTGGGCAAGTCGGGCGTGTCCCCCTACACGGGGATGTTCGACGAAAAACGAAACATACCCCAAAAATAATCAAAACATAGTCCAACAAGAAGTCTGGGGACTATTTTTGGAACACGTTTTGAACATTTTGGGGCATTTTGGAGGTATCCTAAAGTTTCGTCGAAAATCCCCCTGTAGGGGACACGCCCGACATAAATGCCTGGGCTCGATGCTCGCAGGTGAGGCCCCTCCTGGAGCGCCCCAGCTGGGCAGACGACCTTTCGCAGCACGCTCGCTCCGCGTTCCGGCCCAGCGCTGGCTGCGCGGCCCTCGCGGCCAAGCAGAGCGACGTCTGCCCGCGCTGGGCCGCCTGACAGCGAGGGCAGCTAACTGGGAGGGGAGGGGCAGGGGCGGGGATGATTCACGGACCTGAACTCTTGTCTGGTGTGTCGCGGCGGCGGCCTGGCGACACGCTGTGCCCTTCGCCCTGCGACGTGCTGCTCCGCTGCGCAGCGTGGCAGGCACGCTTAAACTCGAACTCGAGACGTTGACGCCTAGGGACTGGGATGTGTATCATACACATGCCAGGGCTTCTGGGGACCTGGCACTGATCAAAAGCAAAAGCCGCCGACCCTGTCGGCGTGTATGAGGGGCTTCGCCGTTCGAGTCGTCTCCTCCGTCTGGTCTGGATTCTTTGCCTCGGACGCGCCGTCCACAGCACCCTTGCGCAACAGTGGAGTGGCATCGACGGGACGCCCATTCTCTACATCTGTGGCATCGAAGGAAAGCCCCTTCCCTCTGATCCCTTCCCCGCGGGGGGGGGTCCCGTGGGTGTACGGGGGGGGTCCCGGGGGGTGCCCGGGGGGGGTCACACCCAAATACGCTTTCACTCCTTCCGCGTCCGGCGCGGTCCCCGCGCGGTTCCGGAACCCCGCGCGGCTTCGGAAGCTCACAGACATCTCCAAGATTATGCCACGAGCCTTCCAAGATATCCCCAGCCGTCCAAGACTCTCCCACATAATGCCAGAAACAAGCCCTCGACGACAGAAATCTTCCGAGCCGTCCGTGCATGCCCCACAGAAACCAAAGAAAACGGCCCGAAACCGAGGGAGATCCAATGTTGTTGGCTTTCCCGCCTTTTCGCTTCCAATGGCCTTCCGCCGCCTGAAGAGAGCTCCTACCAGGCTCACGAGCGCCGCCAGAAAAAGCCCAACAGAGGCCCAAGACGCCTTCAAGAGCGCCTACAAGTCGCCTCGAGACTGTCCCAAGACGCGCCCAAGACCCTGAGAGGCGCCCGGGCCTCCTCCTCCCCCTCCCTCTCCTCCTCCTCCTCCTCCTCCTCCTCCTCCTCCTCCTCCTCCTCCTTCTCCCGCTACCTTCTTTCCTACTCCCCCTCCCCTCCCCCTCCACCTCCTCCTCCTCAACATCCTCCTCCACCTCCTCCTCCCCCCTCCTCCCCCTCCTCCTCCCTCTCCTGCTCCAACCTCCATCTCCACGCTCCTCCTCCCTCCTTCTCCCTCCTCCTCCTCCTCCTCCCTCTCCTCCACCTCCTCCTCCTCCTCCTCCTCCTCCTCCTCCCTGCTCCTCCTCCTCATTCTCCTCCTCCTCCTCCTCCTCCTCCTCCACCTCCTCCTCGCCTCCTCCTCCTCATCATCATCATCATCATCTTCCACGGCCTCCGTCTCCGCCCACTTCGTCTCCGACGTCGTGGTCCTCTTCAGGGTCGGCGGCACCGGCCGTCAGGCCTTCGCAATATTGCATACCTTGGGGGGGGGATCGGGGAGGGGGAGAAGGCACCGCTGACTGGATCCGCCGTACTTCGGCTGGTTACCCGATTTCAAATTATGTCGGACATACATCCCTTCCAAACGATGCGAACAAGTGAGGCAAACATGTCCGCCTCAGAAACGTAGGTCGGATTCTTCTGCAAAGCGATGGAGGAAACAGCGACGGCTAATTAGGACGGAAATCGGCAACAAAGGAGCTTGAGAAGAGGAGCGGGAATTTAGCATGACGCCACGGCGGTCCCGGCGACACGCTATGCCATGCGAGCAGATAGCGTGTCGCTCTCTTCCGCGGGGCAGGATCCTCGGAAAGGCTCGAGACGTGGACGCTCGGGACCGGGAAGTGAATAGCGAGTCGTGCCGAAGCGCGGTGGGCCAGAACCGGCGGAGCGACACGCTGTTCCTAAGTTCCTGACCGCCCGACGTCGCCCAGCAGATCCGGAGTCAGGGCGGGCTGGGAAAACAAAACAAGGCACCGACGCCGCCGCTCCCCAGAACTCTCCCGGGGCGCGCCCCGACCAGAACCTGGAGGAGTCTCCGGGCGTGGCGACGAGGACCCTCCAGGACGACCAGCGGCATCGGCACCTTCCCCCTCCGATGGGGGAGGGAGAGACGGCACGGGGGCCAGGGAGCGAGCCGTGCCCGCACGCGGCGCGGCCCGGGCCCGAGCGCGCTGCGCGCCCCTCCGAAGAGGTGCCGCGGGGCCCAGGCCGCCCTCGCTAGCCGCCGCGCGCCCGCCGCGCTTCGGCGCGTCAGTCCGCCTCGGCCGCCTGCATGAGGCCGGTCTCCTCCACGGGGGCCTCCGTGGGCGAGAGCGGGGCGCGGCGACGAGCCCGCGCGCCCGCGGGCCCGCGCGCCGTCGTCGCCGCCGTCGGCGCCTTCGTATGCGAAGAGCCCTCTCGCAGCACAGGAGCAGCGACTCCTGAGCATGCGACGACGCCCGGCACTGCAGGCGGGTCTTCTCGGACGAGTTTCTCCGGTATCCTGGCCATCCTGCCTCTCCCCGTCTGCTCTGCTCCAGACCATCTCTGGAATCTCGGATCGGGCGAAAGGGGGGGGGACAGCAAAAGGGGGGGGTGAGAATCAGCTCACGTAGCTGACTTTCCCGGCGCCTCCCGGCGCCGGAGGCGCCCATGTATCGAGGAATGGGCCCCTCGGTGGGGCCGAAACCAGCTGCATGCAGCAAGTTTCGTAATCCCCCCTTTCCCAATCCCCCCCTTTCGTCCGGCCCGAGAATCGATCTGTTCGAGGCTCGGGGGGGGGTCCAGCCCCTGGAGGCCCCCGAATGGCGACAGCGCCACCCTGCGAGCGCGCGCGCGCGCGCACGGGCGGGGGCGGAGGCAGTGGGGAGAAAGAGGAGCAAGGGGGAGGGAGGGAGCGAGGGAGGGAGGGAGGGGTAGGAAAAGAGTAAGGGTGATGATTTTGGTTAGGCAGGCCCATGGGCTTGCCCGGGGAGGGCCACACCCCCGGGCAAGGAGCTGGAGGTCACGCCTCGTGTCCCTGACATGGCACAGTGAAACCAAAACGGTATCGCTGCTCCCTATAGACTCCTGACAAATCCTCAAAGAGAATCCAGCCGTGGCGACGTCGGGTAGCGGTATCGGTACAGATTCCTGCTATGAGTCCGGGGCGGGGGGGTTCTAGCTCCGAGGCACGTCGCAAAAGCGACCCGGGATGGAAGCCTGGCCAGGATTTGGAATGAAGGAGACAGGTCCCGCGGAAAACAAGTCTTGGACCTTAGTGCCAATTCTGCGTCCCGAGTCGTTCTTTGACGGTACGAACTGTGGCCCAGGCAGGCCCCGGGAGCTAGAAACACCGCCAAAAACCTCAAGGACAATTCCCCTCAGAACCCCTCTTCCCCATTGCGAAGGACGTACCCAGGGAGGACCGAGAATCGACTGGATCGACGAAGCAATCCGCCGGCCCCCTTGTGGGGCCACAAGGCTGTAGGCCGAAGTGTGCTGCTCCCTGCACCAGTTGCAGCGTTAAGTCTCCGATGTCCTGCTTTCTGCTTCCTGCTGTAAACTGTTTGAGTCCGCGCGAGGGTGGCGAGCCCAAAGGGATCCAATTTACAATGAAAACGTATAGTAAGGACGCGTGGTAGGAGGCAAGGCCCTTGGAGGCCGAAGTTGAAGTATTCTGGGCGGCAGGCGGCCAAACCCCCAGGGAACCTGAGAAACTGGCCTGCGAAAATTGCTAGGGACGGGCCGCAGAGGCTGAGGCAGGCAAGGACCCAAGGGTACCCTTGAAAAAGTCGTTTGTCCTCACTATGCGCGTTGACTGTACCACGCTCGGATCGCGTTCTCTGCATTCATGGGGAGGGGGGCGTGGGACGTGTACAAATACTTGAGATTCGTGTCCCCGAGGCCATGTTCCCTCATACATTCTACAATGCTCGCGTCCCTGGGGCCACAAACCCTTGTAAAGTACTAGAAAAAGTGTTGCGTCCACGAGGCAACAAACCCTTGTACATTACACAATATTCGGTGTCCCCGAGGCAACACACCTTTGAAACTTACGCAAGATTCGTGCCCCCGAAGCCGTAACTAACCCTTTGCAAATTACACCATATTTGCATCGCGGAGGCCAAGAGTGCTCCAAGGCGCCCGAAGATGGTTCCAAGACGGCCTACGAGGGCCCAAAGAGGCCTCAAGAGCGCTCCAAGAGCTCCCTGGGAGAATCTCGAGAGGCAAGAATCGTAGATTATACGAGGGTGTTTGAAGGATTTTGCCCTTCTCGCATTTTCGGCCTTCCGACGCTCCAAGACGGCTCAAGGATCTCCCAAAACCGCCCCAAGACAGCCCAAGACGCCTCCACGAGGGCCCCAAGACGGCCCAAGAGGGCTCCAAGATGGCCTAAGAAGCGCTCAAGCCGGCCCCAGAGGACCCCAAGGCGGCCCAAAGACCACGAGGGGCCCAAGCAGGGGACCACGAACCAAACGTTTTATATTTGTGCCCGGAGAAGCCCCTAGAAGGCCCCATGAGGCCGCCGGGAGGCCCCAAGAGGCGCCCAAGGCCCGCCCAAGAGGCCTCCAAGAGGCCCAACTGATACCCCACGAGGCCCCGAGAGGCCCCCAAGAGGCGCCCAAACCGCCTCCGAGAGGCCCTCCCCCACAACACCCCAGCACATAAAACAAAGGTCTCAGACCCACAATTCAGGCACGGTGGCGGGATGGACCCAGGCCACTAGGATAACGCCAACGTCTCAATATGCGCTGATGATTCCTATCCGCCCCCGCATGATGTTCCCAGATGCGCCAAGGCAGCGCCGACACGCACCGACGCGACTCTGATATATCCCATTATGATAAAGAGGGGGCTGGCGGCAGGGGGCGAAGCCCTTTACGGATAATTAATTAATTATTCATCATGACGCACGCTGCTATGGCATATCGAAAATGCGCTACGCACCTGCGGGCACCTGCCAGACCGCACGGCACCTGCCCGTGCCGTGCGGGCTTGCGTTGCGCATCATGGCCCGAGGCATGAACGTGGACGAGGGCGGGCGGGACCAGAAACGTATCGAAAGGAACACGAGGGGGCCAGGACATCTGGGAGATGTCATGCTATGTCATGGTCCCGACTTGGGGTGAAGACCGGGCAGGACTTGGGATGAAAGAAGCGGGCCCCCCAGGGAAACGGGTCCTGGACCCTGCTGGCTTTCCCCAGGACCAGCTCGTCGCCCCGAGCCGTTCTCTGAGGGCCCTTTGGCCCGCAAAGGGCACAAGGGGGCCAAAAACCTTCAGGACCCGCTCCCCCCGTTTCCTTCCTGGGGCATCCCAAATTGGGTTCGAACTGATGAGGTCGGAGGATAGCCGCGCATCAGCGATGCACCCGTCGGCGGTGCATCGGCGATGCGTTAGCGACGTCGGCGATGCGTCGGCGACGTCGGCGTGGAGAACATCGGGCGCCGCATCCTGATGCGGCGCGATCCTGGAAGAGACAGGGCTCCACTCCAACATGCATCGCTGATGCAGCGCGATCCTCCGACCCCGACAACTCGGACCCCATCTGGGCAGCCTGGACTCAAGTCGAACTCTTGAGGGGCAACGACGGGGGGACTGGCATAAGGGGGGGAACATCGACCTGGAATCGGTGATACATCGCCGATGGGTCGGCGATAGCCCCCCGATAGCGGATCCGAGCGTTCATGGGCGGGCTGGGACTATCAGACCCATGTCGGCGATCAATGAGCGATTGGGGGTCGATGCGCCACTTGTAGAAGACCCTGCACCTAAACCCGGGCCAGCGCGAAGGATCATGCAGGATCCTGCAGGACCCTGCGCCCAGACCAGGGTCATATACGACTCTGGCCCTGCAGGATCCTGCAAGATCCGACGCTCTGGCTGACCCCTGTTTGCACTGACCCCTGGTCCCATGTGTCGTTCCCTCCTCTGCCCCCTGCCGCTGCTCTTCCGGGTCGTCCACCTCGTGGGCCTCCTGGCGGGGCCGGGCATGACCGAGCAGACTTATGCAGAATCCCATCTGGAGCTGGAGTGCGATTGTACTAGGGGAATAAAAAGTGACATAAACATAACAACTCGGAGGTCCACCCGGATTTTTCGGATCGGCGCTGGACCCCCCTCCCTGGCGCGCGGAGCGCGCCAAGGGCGGCGCCGGAGGCGCCGCCGGAGGGCCCCAGCGCCGATCCGAGAAATTCTTGCGGACCTACGAGTTTTTATGTTTATGCCACCTTTTGTTCCAATATGTACGCACACTCGAGCTGCAACCGGTGTGCCGTCTAGGCACGGCCCCTGCCTGTCTGCCTGCCCGTCTCGCGGCTCCCGACCCCGCGCCTCCGCGGCCGGCGCCGGCGCCGCGCGGCACTCCGCGGGGGCCTCCGCCTCGCCGTCGGCCTCGTGGGCCCCGCGGGCGGCCTGCACCGCGGTGGGCACCAGCGGCGGGCCGCCCTCCTGGGGGGCAGCGTTCGCCACCAGGCACGGTCGCCTACTGATGTTTGGTTCTGGAGGGGGGAGATTCTAGAGGGGCCAAAAACAGAAGCACGAGCATAAACTCAGGTCGAGCATGTCCTCCTACAGGCGGCTTTTTGAGGATAACTAGAAGATTGCCCCAAATAAATTCAAAAATAATAGAACAATCGACTCCGCACTATTTCTTGACTATGTTTGAATTATTCCTTCTGTGGATGGACGTGCCCGACTTAGTTTCGCGTGGATTTCTTGGATCGGCGCTGGGCCCCCCTGGCGGCGCCTCCAGCGCCGCCCCTGCGGCGCGGAGCGCGCCAGGGAGGGCGCTGGAGCTTTGGCTGGCTCCCTGGCGTGCTCCAGCGACCTCCCTGGCGCGCGTAGCATTAGGTCGGGCATGCCTCCTCCTCCTCCTCCTCCTCCTCCTCCTCCGCCTCCTCCTCCTCCTCCTCCTCCTCCTCCTCCTCCTCCTCCCTCCTCCTCCTCCTTCTCCTCCTCCTCCTTCTCCTCCTCCGCCTCCTCCTCCGCTCCTCCTCCTCTGCCTCCTCCGCCTCCTCCGCCTCCCCCTTCTCCTCCTGCTCCTCCCCCGCCTCCTCCACCTCCTCCGCCTCCTCCTCCTCCTCTTCCTCCTTCTCCTCCTCTTTGCACTCACTCAGTGAGTGCAGACCTCCTCTCCCGTGGTGTTCAGCCATCGGGATTCTCGCTGCTCTCGCCTCTTTTTCAGGCACGAGACTTCAGTCATTTGTGCCTACAGATGTTCGTTCAGAACGTTCTCGGCCCTTGAAAGAAAATGTTGCCGCCGCAACGCTGGCCATATTTTAGGATCAGCGCGTTGCCCCCGTCGGTCAGATTGGCGCTCTCGCCCCTGCTTGGGCCACACTTCTGGATCCGATTCCTTCCTCGTCGTTGCCGCGTCCCTCCTGTACCTTCACCGGATCCTCCTGCGGCGTCCCGCCTGCTCGTCCTCCCCTCTCCCTCCTGGTCCTCCTGATCCTCCTGCTCCTCATCCTCCGCCTCCTGCTCTTTCGCCTCCTGCTACTGCTACTGCTGCTGCTGCTTCTGCTGCTGCTGCTGCTAATGCTCCTCCTCCTCCTCCTCCTCCTCCTCTCGGCGCTGCTTGTTTCCTGGAGCTCTGAAGTAAGAACATGCCTAGACCATGTGTACCGTGTAGGCCAGGCAACACCCAAGTAGTCGTGCAACAAACGATGGGCAAACTACTGCAACTGACAAGGTCCTTGAGGACATCCCAGCGGATAGAAACTTATTCAACGGAATACGAAGGGATGACCGCGAGGGGTGGGATGCCAAATGTGTCGCGAAGGCGCCTGTCTTGCCTCCCACATCTCTCCGGGATCCCCTCTGTCCATCCGCCTCGCTCCCTCCCCACGCGGGAGGGAGGATGGGGAGGAGGAAGACGGGCTTCGCCCGCTTCGCCTCCCTCCCCCACATTTCCTCGCACTTCTTGCTGTCAGTGCCTGGATGTCCGACGGTATGATTGTTTGAATACCGGCGTGTTCACTCAATTGGGGCGACGAAATCCATACATGTCCCCTGCTCCCTGGCCAGACCGCCCCCGTCCTGAAGCCGGCAGCGGTGTATACACGTCCCCCTGGCTTCGCCAGGAGGGCATCTACACAGCTCCTGGCATCAGGATAGGCCTGGCCAGGGAACAGGGGGTATGCATAGACCACGCCGACCGATCGATCTATGCCTCTACAGCCCCTGGGGCCGTCAAATATGGATCCGGGACAAAGACCTTCCCCCGGGAAAGGGGGTCAGGAGCTCTGGGGCCGCAGGTGTAGCAAACACAGATTCCTTGGAGTGGCCAGCTGGCATGCGTGCTATATCGCTGTGGTCATGCGACTCCCGAAACAGAAGAATCGGGGACGCCAAATGAACAAACAACTTGAAACATCTCCACAACTTTGCCGTGTCGGCTGCTCCTTGGGGCGCCCGACTGCTATGCTTTCTTCATCGCGGTGACATTGCGGCTGAGTGTGATTATGAGTGAGTCTAACCATAAACGGTTCTGAACGCGAATGATTTCTGAGCGTGGGTAAGTCTGAGTGTGCGTGTGCATGAATGTGAGGGTGAGTTGGTCGGAGTATGAGTGAGCCTGAACGTGATTGAACCTGCGCGTGAGTTAGTCTGAGTGTGAGCATCTGAGTCTGAATCGGTCTGAGTATGAGAGAGTCTGATAGGAACGAATATACGTGTGAATGGTCAAAAGTGTGAGTGACCGAGTGCGGGTAAATCGAATATGACCGAACTAAATATGGGCGACCCTGTGTATGACTACGCTGAGTTCTAGCCCGATTGACCCGAATATTAGAAAAGGAGAACGCGGGAGCGAGCGCGACTGAAGCGGAGAGATCCCTCAACGAATGTTAGCCAACGTGGGCCCCAAACAGTGTGTGTGTGTGTTCTAGCAATCTATGTTGCGCAATCTGGATATTGCAATCTATGTGGTGCAAGATGAGTGGTGCAATCCATGTTGTGCTAAATGATTTGTGCAACCTGCATCGTAGAATAGATGGCATGCTATCTGTTGTGTGCAGCGTATACTGTGCAATCGATGCTGTGGAAAATGTGGTGCGCAATCTATGTTGTGCGATCTACGTGGTGCAGCCTATGTACTGCAATCGATGTGTTGCAACGTAGGTTGTTCAATCTACATGGTGCGATACACGTGGTGTAATCTACGCGGTGCAATCTACGTGGTGCTATCCAATACGGTGGGGGCATTGGATGAGGAACCCTTGAATAAGGAATCCAGGGTCTGGAAGCCAGTGGGAGTCCAATCGTGGATCGGCCATGGATATCACCGCCGCCTTCATTGGCCAATGAATCCTCCAGGGTCTGGCGCCTCCTGGGACGCCTTCACCGTATATGTTGTGCAATCTGTGTGGTTGTGCAACGCTGGCTGTGCAACACATGTTGTGCAATCTATGTGATGCAATCAATTTCTGTTCGCAGTGAATTGTCCACTCCACTGTTCGCGCAAACATCTCACCCACCCACCCGCAATTCGGCTTGCAAACCTCATGTGGCAGCGATTGCGATGACGGTTTGGCGCTGGCGGGTGCACTTCTGCGGCCGCGTCAGCCCGCGCATGCACGCGTGCAGCGGCCAGGTAGTTTGGCGCGACCGACGAGGCCGCCGTGGTGCTGACCGCTCGGCACATCCCAGCCGGCACTTGAATGCGAGTCGGCGGTTTGGGCTTGCGCGGTATCATGGCAAACGTCGACGCTTGTAGACACGATGACGATGATAGTGGCGATGCGGGTGACGACACCTGAAGACACGATGATGATGATAGTGGCGATGACGGCGCCGATGCCGATCACGTTGGCGACGATGACGGCGTTTTCGCGTCGGTGGTGAAATTGCTGGAAGGATATCGAAATGCGCGCGCGGCTGACGCGCGAGGGTGGCCTGCATTATTAGACACGGATCGTGCCACCCCAGCACGCGCACAAGGGCGTTCGAACGATTTCGACATGCGCGCGCGAAGCCATTCTGGTAGTATGTTTATGAACGTGTTTCAAACATGGTTTTCTTAACAGCGCGCGCATTTGTTGAAAACCCGTGTTGTTGTTTGTTTTTATAGGTTTGGTGGACACTCGATGTTGATATCGCTCCGCAGAACCAAAAATTATTGAAGGATTTCGGCACGCGCGCGCGACGACGCGCGCGTGTGCACTTCGTCTCATTTTTCTTGGCAAAAGGATTCTCGCGACGGCACGCGCGCAGGGGCGTTCGAACATTTTCGACATGCGCACGCGCAAATCCCGTTTGATAGCATGTTCTGAACACGTTGGAAAGCCATGGCTTAATGAGATGTCGCAAGAACGCACGCGTAATCTTTTTTTGGAAAGCCGTGTTGCGAAACCCTGTCTTTGCACGTGGTTTGGAATCTAGATTTCAAAGCCCCTCCGAAACCGAAAGTGCTTGAAGGATTTTGGCATGCGCGCGCGACGACGCGCGTGTGCGCACTTCGCCCAATGTTTTGCAAGGGGTTTTTGGAAACTTATGATTGTTGATAAACGAGCGTGCGCATTGTACTGTTGCCGAAGATGGCGGGGGCGATACCCGTTCCCCTGGGATAGTTGAAATTCATATTTAGGATGGACGATGGGTCAGAGTCACATGTAAATTGCAAAACGAAAAGGTGGATCGTTGAGTCCGGGGAAGGGGGGAGGGTGGTAGAACCTATCTCTCTTTTTTTTGAAAGGAGAACTAATCAACGCTCACCTTGAAATTGTCCACTCCAGCGCTCGCGCAAACATCCCACCCACCCACCCGCAACTTGGTTTGCAAACCCCATGCGGCTGCGATTGCGATGAGTGCTTGGCGCTGGCTGGTGCATCTCTGCGGCCGCGACAGCCCGCGCATGCACGCGCGCGCATGCACTGTGGCGCGGCCGACGCAGCCGCGGTGGCGCTGATCGCTGGGCACATCCCACAGGGCACTTCAATGCGAATCGGCGACTTGGGCGGGCGCGGTATCATGGCAACGTCGAAAGCGGTACAAACGGTCGTCGTTGACAGCGGCAGCGACAAGCGGTACACACGGTCGTTGACAACAACGTCGACAAACGGTACACACGGACAATGGCCGTGGTCGTCGTTAACAGCGACGACCACGGCCAGTGACGGCGCGGATGCTGATCACGCCGACGACGATGACCGCGCCCCCGCGTCGGCGATGAACATTTTGGAAAGGGTTCGACATGCGCGCGCGGCCGACGCGCGAGTGGCCCGCGTGGTACGATTTGGAACGGATCGCGCCCCTCCCAGCACGCGCCCAAGGGCATGCGAATGATGTCGGCATGCGGCGCGAGAGGTCCGTTTGGCAGAATTCCATGAACATATTGATGACAAATATGGTTGCCTTAAGAAGTCGCCGGAGCGCGAGCGCACGCTTTTTTGACAATTGATGTTGCGAAACCTTGTGTGTTTATATTTGTTTTGGACATTCAGTTTAGAAATCGCTGCGAAACCGAAGGTCTTTGAAGGACTTCGGCATGCGCGCGCGACGACGCGCGCGTGTGCACTTCGCCCCATTTGTTGCAAAGGATTCTCGCGACGCCACGCGGGCAAGGGCGTTCGACCGATTTCGACATGCGCGTGCGCGAAGCCCGTTTAATAGTATGTTCTGGAAATGTTGGAAAACCGATGGTCTTCTCAAGAATTCGGAAGTGCGCGCGCGCACGCTTTTTTTTGATTGAAAATCCTTGCTGCGAAACTCTGTGTTTTGTATTTGCGTGTGTTGGACCTGATATTGAAATCCTCCCGAACCCCTAGGTGTTTGAAGTATTTCGGCATGGGCGCGCGACGACGCGCGTGTGCACGTCGTCCCATTTGTTGCAAGGGGCTCTTGAAAACATATGACTCGTGATCAACGAGTGCGCGCGCGTAGTATTTTTGCAGAGGATGGCGGGGGGGGGCGACGGGCGATACCGGCCTAGCTGGGATAGAACGAATTTCAAGTGCGTATGATGGACATTGGGTCGGAATCATATGTACATTGCAATTCGAAAAAGTGAATCGTTAAGTCCGGGGGGAGAGGGTGGTAGAACCTATCTCTTTCATAGAAAGGAAAACGTATGTTGCGCAACATATGTGGTGCAATCTATGCTGTGCGATAGATGGTGCGCACAGGCACGATGTTGGTTTGTGCTATCTGTGTGGTGCAATCCTACGGCGGCGAGGCGGCGACGGGTCTTCGACGGCTGGCACGGAGCCGCCAGACCGAAGACGCGGCCCAGGTCCTCATAGAGCAATCACAGAACCTCAAACTTGGAATGCGGGGTGGTCCGAGCCGCGAGGGAGCACCCCCGCGGCGGCGGCGTGCCCGCGCCGCCAGCGCGACGCCGCCCATCCGTGGCCGTGGCCGTCTCCGCCGCCGCCGCCCGTGGGAAAACCCGGAGACACCGCTGCTGCCACGCTCGGAGCCTCTTCCGGGGTGCGCCCTGGCCAGCCCAAGAGGCCCCACAAGCGGCCCCGAGAGGCCCCCCAGAGGCTCCCCAAGAGGCCCCCCAAACTGGCCTTATTGTAAGAGGCACCCGAAGGCGCTCGGACCAGATCCCAAGGAGCATCCCAAAAGCCTCATACCCACAACCCGTGCAGGGTGGCGGGATGGGCCGAAGACCATTCGCTCCGCCGCCCCCTGTCGATTCATCGCAGGGGTGCCTGGCGTGCCGAATTCTTACGGTTTTGGTTTTGGCTTTTTTCCCAAAAGAACTCCAAAAGAACTCCCCCTGGGGCTTCGGCCCGTCCCGCCGGCCACCCGAAAGGCCGCACAATTCCCAATTTGTTCGCTCAAGATGGCCCTAGATGGTCTCCAAGATGGCCACGTTGGCCCAAGATGGCCTCCAAGATGGTCCAAGATGGCCTCCACGTCCGCCCAAGATGGTCCCAGACGGCCTCCTAGACAGCCCAAAAGAGTCCAAGACTGCCCAAGAGGCCCCACAGAGGCCTCAAAGACGGCCCGAGAGGTCTCCAAGAGGTCCTCCAGGAGGGCCCGAAGAGGCCCAAATCATTGATTGTCCTCAGGTTTGTGAAGAATGTTCGCATTCGCTTCTTCTCGGCTTTTCGACGACCCGAGACGGCCCAAGAGGCCCCCAAGATCGCCCCCACAGCGCCCAAGAGGCCTCCAAGATGGCCTCAGGACTGCCCAAGAGGCCCCCAAGACGGCCCCAAGAGGGCACAACGACGATCCAAGAGGCCTCCAAGACGCCCAAGATGGCCTCCAAGACGGCCCTGGAGCACCCCAAGAGGGCCCCAAGTCGGCCCAGAAAGGCCCCCCAAACGGCTTCCGACGGCGTCAGACGGGCCAGGAGCCCACCAAGATGGCCCAAGGCGGCCCAAGAGGCCTCCAAGAGGGCCTCCAGGAAGGCCAGAAAAAGGCCGAACACACTGATTTTCCTTAGGTATGTGAAGGATGTTCGCATTCGCTTCTTCTCGGCTTTCCGACGACCCGATACGGCCCAAGAGACCCCAAGGATCGCCCAAGGATCGCCCAAGAGGCCTCCAAGAAGGCCCCAGAACGGCCCAAGAGGCCCCCAAGACGGCCCCAAGAGGCCCCCAAGACGGGCCAGGAGGCTAAGACGCCCAAGATGGCCTCCAAGACGGCCCTGGAGCATTCCAAGAGGGCCCCAAGTCGGCTCAGAAAGGCCCCCCAAACGGCTTCCGACGGCGTCGGACGGGCCAGGGGCCCACCAAGACGGCCGAAGATGGTACTAAGATGACCCAAGACGGCCCAAGAAGACTCCAAGAGGGCCTCCAGGAAGGCCCGAAAAGGCCAAAATCATTGATTTCCCATGAGTTCTTGAAGGAGTGTGGCATTTGCTGTTTTTCGGCCTTCCGACAGCCTGAGACCGCCCACGTGCCCCCGATCGCCCAAGAGGCCCAAGACGACCCCAAGAGGCCCACAAGACGGCCGCAGAGGCCTCCAAGACGCTCAAGATGGCCTCCAAGACGGCCTAAGAGCCCTCCAAGACGTCCTTCAAGAAGGCCCGAAAGGGTCAAAATGGCTTCCAGGCGGCCAAGATGACCTTCAAGATGCCTACGTGTTCCCCGAAGACTTTCCAAACCGATTCGGGGAACACATGGTCCGATAGCTTGGCAAGTCTGGCCTCAACGTTCGGCCACATAGGAGCTTCCACAAAGGCAGGGGGCGGCGGTGATTCGCCGTAGGCGTCTTCGATACCGATACCGCTACTTCTGGCGCTTCTCCCGAGGTGCACTCTCGCCAAAGTTTCAGGCGAATCTGGCGGTGGCGACGGGGGCCGCCCAAGAGGCCCAAGAGGCGAAAACGGGGCCAGGGTGGCGGTGCTGGTGCGGCAGGTTCGTGCCTTGCCGACTTCGGCGTTGGCTCCTGACACTCCGCGGATCGTTCAGCATTGAACGACCACGGCTGCCCGATAGGGCAGATCGTTCACCATCGGCGGATTCTGAGCCACTTGCGGCGTATATTCTTGAACGCCCACACTGGGGCCATCGCCGCGGCAGCCCGACGCGAACTTGTCGCACCGTTTCCTCATCTGAGCCCGCCGCCGCAATCGATCAATCCAATCCTGGCATTCGTTTCTTTTCGTCTCCACCTGAGTGTTCCGTTCCCTCCTACCTTCCTCCTCCTTCTCCTCCCCCCCTCCTCCCCCTCCTCCTCCTTCTCCTCCTTCTCCTCGTCTCGTTCTAGTCTTTCCCCCGTCTCTTGTCTTTCTCCTCCTCCTCCTCCTCCTCCTCCTCCTCCTCCTCCTCCTCCCTTGCCGCCGCCGCAATCGATCGGGCCACGCCGCCGCCGCCGCCGCCAGGGGGGCCGCTCCTGCAGCAGCGGCGTGTCCGCGTCGCCGGCGCGGTCGCTGAAGCGCGCGCGCCCGCTGAGGCGCAAGGCCTGCGCGGTGGTGGTGCGGGCAGCAGGGGCGACGCCCCGCGGCCGGGTGGGCAGCGCCTCGCGGGCCTCTGCGGCCGCCGGGAGGCTGGGGCGGCAGCGGGGAGGACGAGGGGGGGGGGAGACCCAGGCCTCCAATGCATTGGCAAAACTCATGACGGATGCTTTTCGCTTTCTTCTGCCTCTGGGGTCCCTCGCCGAGCCCCGGGACTGTCGGAAAACGACCCAGGATGAGAGGCCGGTCCAAGAGAAAAGGGGTCGAGACCTCCGGGAACCCAGAATGTTGAAGAAATCATGTGTTTGTCATGTGTTTCTGTTGTGTCGGTGTTGCGGTGTTGGCCCTGCTTCCGCGCGTGACGTTCGCGTCACGAGCCAAGTGAAGTGAGATCGCGAGCAGAAAGCCAGGGAACCAAAGCGGGGAGAGTGAGCAGCGAGATCGCCAAAACCGGTTGTCACGCGCGCGTCAGCTGCATAAAACCCTGGCCCATGCCAGGAGGAACAAAGCATCGGACACATGGGGGGAGAAGGAGAGAATGAGGAAGAACCGAGACAAAGAAGACTGACACTGTCACCGTATGCGCATCTCCACTTTATCCAACCGACCATGCACATAATCAGGCGTCACACAGCGCCAAGTGGAAAGACAGTGCACAATACAAAACGCCATCTGCAGCCCACACGGCGAAGAGGCTGGTAGAACCATGCTCGGAACGCTCTATCGCGCGGGAGGCAGAAGCCAGAGAGGGAAGGCAGGAGAGGAGGCGGGACGGATCCACGGCAGGAGCAGGCAATACTGGCAAGCCGCATGACGCCCAGCAGCACAGCGCCCAGCAGCACAGCCGGGAGCGACAGCGCGGCCCTGAAGTTCAAGAATTGGGCGTGCAGTGATGCGCGCCGCGGCACGTCTACGAGCAGATCCGAGGGCGACACGCAGCACGGCGCCCGGCAACACACACACACACACACATACATATATATATATATATATATATATATACACATGTATAATTGGGAGCCGCCGCACTGTTCTGGTGCCCAGGACTTGGGCGGGCAGCATGACGAGCAGTGCGGCGGGGAGCAGTGCGACGGCGACCTGCCGCACGTGGTCACGCCTCCAGCGGAGCCGCGAATGGGGCGTGCAGCTTGACTGGCTGCGTGCCCGCGCAGTGCGATGGCGAGACGCATCACGGCGTCCAGCAGCTCACTCGGGCACAGCAGCACGACTCTGACATCCGGGAGTTGGCAGTGCCGAGCGTTGCGCAGCATGCCTGAGCGCGAAGACGCAGCAGCCCCGCCCCCGGGGAGACGAGCCGCTGGCCGACGGCTGGACCTCCTTCGGGGTGCTTTCCCCGCCGCGGTCGGCGCCGGCTGGCCGCGCGAAGAGCGGCGGGCCCTGGCCATGCCGTGCCTGGCGCCAGGCCCAGGCCATGCCCCCGTGGTCGAGCAGGGCGGCGAGCCGCACCTCGAGGCGCCGCCCGAGGCGGCGGGGAGCGCGGAGCCCTACGACGGCGAGGCGCAGCATGACGCCCAGCAGCGCGCACGGGCACAGCAGCACGACTCTGGCATCCAGGAGTTGGACGTGCCGTGCGGCGACCAGCGCCTCTGTGCGGGAGCCCGGCGGCGACAAGCAGAACGGCGCCCAGCGCAATGAGGAGCAGCAGCGCACCTGTGGCATCCAGGAGAGGGTCCCGCAGCACGGCGAGCAGCGCGTCTGGCGTTGGTGCCGCACCGGGGGTGGCTGCCGCGGAGGCTCCGCCTGGCGGTGCCGTAGGTGAACTGCGGCGCGTCGATCTTCTCTCCTCGCCTCCTCCGCCTCGCCTCCCCATCCTCCCTTGGTCGAGCGGCTTGCTGATCGCGAGCCTCGCAAATGTGGGCCACAGCGTGCTACCTCGGCGTGTTGCTGAGGCAGCGTGCCACGGCCCCATTTGTGGGGCTCGGCACGTGCGGGAGCTCCCGGGCTCCGCGATGGCGAACTGTAGGCCTCCCTGGCAGCCACCACTCCTCCGTCTGCCAGCCTTCAGTCGAAGCGGATGTGGTCCTTCTGCTATCCTTGTTCGCCTCCCCTCCCCCCTCCTCGTTCGCCGCCTCTCCCTTCAATTGCGTGCACGCGCAAAGTGTCGCCGATGCCTGCGGGAGCGACGCTCGGCTCCACGATCGATGGGGCTCTATCAGGCCGCCTTTGTGCTTGTCTGAGGCCAGTGCGGGATCTCGTGGTCATGGGGCTGTCTTGGGGGTCACCGAGGGATCTACGAGGAAGGTCCCCCCTGTCACCCCTAATCAGCCGAAGGGGGGAAGCGAGAAGCTGGTCCCCGGGTCCCCGCAGTGTCTGCAGCTCTCCCCCCTTGTCACCCCTAATCGGCCGTAGAGGGGGAGCGACCGAAGTGGCTGTAGGTCCCCCTTGTCATCCCTCAACGGCGGACTGGAAGCCCCAGAGCGGCTGGAGCCTCGATGAGGGAAGGAGGAAGAGATCAGAGGAGACTCTCCCCCCGTCATCCCTAATCGGTCGTAGGGGGAGATCTTGGGATCGCTTTTGGGAGATCCGTTGCGCGGGAGGGGTCGCGGAACCAGCGTTGCCCGGTGGCCGCAGCTGGATCTGACAGCTATTTCATGCAGCCCCTCCCGCGCGAGAGGTGTCCCAAGAGGTGTGGGTATGGTTCTTCCCAACCATCCTGTGGTGTTGGATCCTTGTTTTGACAGAGACAGCGCCCCGCGTTCTCCTCCTCTCCTCCTCCTCCTCCTCCTCCTCCTCCTCCTCCTCCTCCTCCTCCCCCTCCTCCTCCTCCTCGTCCTCCTCCTCCCTCCTCTCCTCCTCCCTCCTCCTCCTCTCCTCCCATCCCTGCCTCTGCTGTTCGCATGTCACCATCATCGTCGTCATCATCATCACCACCATCATCAACATCATCATCAGCAGCATCAGAACCATCATCATCAGCAGCATCATCATCAGCATAATCATCATAACCATCACCATCACCAGTATCATCATCATAATCATCATCATCATCAGCATCATCAGCATCATCAGCATTATTATCATTATTATCATCCTCCTAATCATCATCACCATCATCATGATCGTCATCGTCATCGTCACCCTCATTTCGGCACACCCCTCACACGCTTCGTGACCCCACAGGAAGCTCCAACTAAGGCCCCAGTGGCACCGTCCGCATGTGGGCGTCTCTCCGTTTCGGCACACCCCTCACACGCTTCGTGGCTCCATAGGGAGCTCCAGCTAAGGCTCAAGTAGCACCGTCCGCATGTGGTGCGTCACCCCCGTTTCAACACACCCCTCACACGTTTCGTGGCCCCATAGGCCATAGGAAGCTCCACCCAAGATCCCAGTGGCACCGTCCGCATGTGGGCGTCACCCCCGTTCCGGCACACCCCTCGCACGTTTCGTGGCTCCACAGGGAGCTCCAGCTAAGGCCCATGTGGCACCGTCCGCATGTGGTGCGTCACCCCCGTTTCAACACGCCCCTCACACGCTTCGTGGCTCCATGGGGAGCTCTAGCTGATGCCCAAGTGGCACCATCCGCACGTGGGCGTCACCCCCGTTTTGGCACACCCCTCACACGTGTCGTGGCCCCAAAGTGAGCTCCACCCAAGGCCCCAGTGGCACCGTCCGCATGTGGGCGTCACCCCCGTTTCAACACGCCCCTCACACGCTTCGTGGCTCCATAAGGCCTTCCAGCTAAAGCCCCAGTGGCACCGTCCGCATGTGGGCGTCAACCCCGTTTCGGCACACCACTCACAAGTCTCGTGGCCCCTATAGGGAGCCCCTGCTACGGTCGGAGTGGCTCGGCCCGCATGCGGGCGGTGCCGCATAAGGAGCTTCACCTAAGACGGTACTCACAATTGGGGTACTCACAACTGCATATGGTTGGGTTCTTCGCCAGGCTAATTCCCATGAGCTGGTGCCTTCTGGGGAGCCTCTCGGAGCAGTTCGGTGGGAGCTGCTGGAAACCTTCGAGGAGCCCGTGGTGTATCACTTTGTCTAATGAGCCGGGGCCTTGTTGTAGCATGTCAATGCCGTATCGAGGGAGCTGCTGGAGGCTTTCGGGGAGCCTCTGGGGAGTGTCCCGGAGTCTTGGAGCCCATGGGGTGCTTCTTGGGGGCTTGCTGGCCGTGGGATCGGCGGGAGCTGGGGGAGCGCTTCAGGGTTGGCCCTGTTGGGCCTCCTTTGGGGCCGTCTTGGGAGGCTGTCTGGCCGCCTTGGGAATCCCCAGAACCGTCTTGAAGTTCCCTGGGCTGTCGTAAGGGCTCTCTTGGGGACTCCCTGGGCGCCCTCCTGAATAGCTCGTCGAAGATTCGGGGCTCCAAGATTCGTCCAAGAGGGCGGGAGGTGAGAGAAAGTTCTTTTACCCATTGGGGGTAACGCGTGTGACCCCGGGGGGGGGAGGCGCGGGCGGAGGGGTGACGGCAACGGCGGCAGCGGAATGCTCCGGGCAAGGTGAGCCCGAGCCACCAGCACATCAATCTCCTGTGTGCACCACAGTCCCTGCCCTGTGCACGCGACAATACCCAATGCTTGCGTGCCAGTCCCTGTGTACACGACGATGCCCAACGCTTGCGTGCAACACAGCGCCGCCTGCGTACACCACAGTGCCCCCGTGCACCACAGCAGCCGCGCGCAGCACAACACCACGTCGCGCGTGTACACCACAATGCCTGCGTACACTGCAGCAGCCGCGTGCGCAACAGTGCCTGTGTACACCACGGTGCCTGCGTGCACCAGAATGCTTGTGTACACCACAGCGCCTGTGCACACCACAGCAATCATGTGTACCACAGCACCTGTGCACACCACAAAGCCTCCGTGCACCACAACGCTTGTGTGCACACCACAACACCAAACGCGCCAGCGGGCACATCGAGCACCACGTTTCGCTTGTGAGCACTACAGTGCGCCAGGGGCCTGCTACGAACCAGGGGCGCAACCAGGGGCAGCGAGGAACGCAACCTTGAACGCCCGCGCACGGGGTCACCGCCGCGCCTCCTCTGCACCAGCGGACTGCCTGCGGCCAGAGGCAACAACGGACGACAAAGAGAGCCCGCAGGCCCCCCCCCCAGGTGGGCCACCAAGCTGCGAAGATGTTATCTGGCTCCCTCCCCCTTTCCACCTCCTACTCCACCTCCGCCTCCTCCTCCTCGTCCTCGTCCTGCCCCTCCTCCTCTGATATCATCCTGCTGCACCGCAGCGCTTGCGTACACCACAACGCCTGTGTACACCACAGCAGCCGCGTGCACCACAACGCCTGTGGACATCACAGTGCTTCCGTGCATCACAACGCCTGTGAACACCGCAACGCCTGTGCACACTACAGTAGCCATGCGCACCGCAGCGTACGCGTATGCCACAGTGCATGCGTCTGCCACAGCGCCCATGCACTGGCCATGCGTGCACGTAGATGCCTGCGTGCGCTGGAGCGCCTGTGTACTCCTTACAATGTCCATTGGGAACTTGAAGGGTTCACGCTTGCGCCCGGCTTGCAAGCGTTACCATTACCTGGGATGGCTGGGGGGGGGGTAGCACGCATTACCCCAGAGGTTAAAATAACGTTCACTGGTGGAGGATGCGAAGGACGGGGAGGAGGTCATATCGAGGCGACGGGGAACGATGGGCAGGAAAAGGGGATATGGAGACAAAGGGAGCAGCCTGGAGGAATGCCACAGCGGTTGCGCGGTCCAGCAGAACATGTCGGGAACCCGAAGGCTTCCCCGCGTATGCCGCGAGGCGGCACGAAACACTCTGGGTGGCTGATGGTTGCCCGAAGGCGGCGTCCCGGGAGGCTCGTGTGAGAACGGCGCGGTCGGGACCCCACCGATGTGCAACAGTAGCACTCTATAACGGTTTGGGAACGCCTTGCGGGGACATACACCCTGCGAAATGCTTATGAAATCATGGGTTAAGAAATTCATAGTCTCAGAACTTGATAAAAAAAAACCCAACATTTCCATGAACATCTTAGGATTTACATTGAAACATTAAGAATAACTGAGACCCTGGCCAAAAACTTAAGTTTTCTTAAGCATCGCCTAAGGTGTACGGGGCAACGTCGGGTTGCTAGAAATTCCAAAGTACACGAGCGGGGCCGAAGCCGTGAAAGCCTCTGGCGCGGAGCAGTGCGACGCGAGCAGAGCGCGAAGGCAGCACGAGGACGGGCCGCAGCGGCCACAGGAGCTGGCGACAGCAGTCGAGACAGTGGCGGCAGCACGGGCAGGCGGGAGCCGCCATCGCGCTGGTAGGCGATGCTCCTGATCGCAAGTGCGGGAGGGTGTTACTCACCGTCCCCGCGGAAGTGAGCCGGAGCGTGGCCATGGCCGACTGTCGCTGGCAACCGTCTGGAGTCCGGGGCCTCTGGGAGCCCTCCCGAGAGATCTCGGGCCCCCTGCGACGCTCTTGGGCCGTCTTGGGGCAATGTTGGGAGTCTGGGGCTGTCATAGAGCTCCGTTTCGGATCCCTTGGGCAGGTCTTGGGGCCCTATTGAAGCTGTCGGGTGGCACTTGGAACCATAATGGGCCGTCCTGGGGCTCTCTTGGGCCATCTTGCGGCCCTCTTGGTCCGTCTTGGGGCCCTCTTCGGTGACTCTTGGACGGTGTGAGCGCGATCTGGGAAGCCCCTGGAGCCGTCCGGGGGCCATTCTTGAGCTCAACTTGGGAGAACCTGGGCATCCTTCAAAACCTGAGGCAAACCAATGGTCTCGGCCCAATCCGGCCGCCGTCGAGGTCCCCTTGGGCCGTCTCGGGAGCTTCCGGGCTTGGTTTTGGGCCCTCCTGGACCGCCTTGTGGCTCGCTCGGGGTCCTGCGCGCCCTCTTTGAGCGCCGCTGAACCGTCTTGGACCGTCTGGGAGCCTTCTTGTCGCCCTCCAGGGCCACACCGGGAGCGCCAGCGCCCCGGGAGCTCCAGGAGCCACTGGACTGCCGCACTCGCACGCGCTGATCCCGCGGTATTGTCTGATATAGATGGCGTAGGGCTCCAGGTTCGCCTCCCGCATCTCACTGAGCACCGCCTGCGCGTGTTGCCATTGCCCGCCTTTTCTGCATGCGCTGACCGTCGCAATGTGGTGGTTCGGGACGGGTTGCGCACCTAATCGAATTCCTTCGCGGAGCACCAGCAGTGCTGCGCTCCATTGTTGGGTCCGGCAGTAGTGCTCGATCGACGCCTCGAG